AAATTTGAACACTTCTCCAAAAAGTTGGACCCCTCCCCCAACTGTTAGAACCCACCCGAAGTTGGAACCTCAAAAAAGTTGTAACCTTCCCTCGAGAGTTGTAACCTCCAAAAATGAAGCCTAACCTAAATAGTTGGAAGCATTATTTACAATTATTTGAATTGTTTTATTTTATTCATTATTTATTTATTGTTAATAAAAAAATGGAACTATTTATAAAATATTGAATATTTTAGGACTTTTTTTTGATCTAGCTAAACCGATTCACCCAAAAAATTGGAACCCAATTCAAAAAAAGTTATACCCAGTTATAACCACACTAAAGCATTATTTACAATTCTTTTATTTATTTGATTTTTTTATTATTTATTTGTTTTTATTTAAAAAATATTGAATATTTTTGGACAGTAGAATTTTTTTGATGTAGCGAATTGGAGTCACCCAAAAAATTGGAACCCAATTCAAAAATATTATAACCTGACCCAATTGGAAGCATTATTTATGATTCTTTTAATTTATGATTTTATTCATTATTTAATTTTTTTTGTTAATAAAAATTGGGACTATTTATAAAAAATTGAATATTTTTAGAATTTTTTTTGATTATTTAAGGAATAAAAGTGTGATAGTTAAGGAAAAAATGGATAAAAATGTTATAGTTAAGGGATAAAAGGGTGATATTTATCGAGGATTGGTCTCCCATTTCTTGGACCGGCCCTAAATGCTTCACATTATAAATTACACTTACACCCCACATATTATAATATATTATTTTTTTATTTTAAGGTCCACAAATCACAAAAACCTTATCCCTCCTTCCACCCACTTTCCCGCCTAAAGACTGTTACTGCTCTTTGCCTTCCCTCTATTTCTTTCACGGTACAAAAATATTTGTTTGTTTGGTTAGATTTTGTTGAGTCTCCAAGATTGCTGTGAAACTCTATTTTTTTTTTGGTGAACATTGTCTTTGATAATCCATTGGTGATCCAAGTCTTGATCAAATATAATATAAGTGAACGTTTTTTTTAGTTAATAGCGTAATTTATATGGTGAAGCTATTTTTGTGGTTAATGGTTTATTTTATGTTTAGGATGAAGAAGAAACATGAAGCTCAAGATATTAAATCATCTCTCGCCCAAGCTCCTGGCTTTTTTACTAGTGGGAGATTTTTTTTAATCTACTAAATTATTTGTGTTGATCTTATTTTTTATTCATATGATCTAATCGATGCATGTTTTCACTATAGCAAGGATTGTCTAGAGACAATCAAAGGGAAGGAAATAAAAAAATTAGACCATGGGGTATAAATGATATTATGTTGATCTTTATTTTTAATTCTAATGATCTTATTAATGCTTGTTTTCACTTTACCAAAGACTGTTTGTCTTCATCTCATGTACAACCTTTTACTACTCAATCATCAGGCCATGAAAGAACTTGGCATCCAATGAAAATTTTGAAACATTGCGAGAAAGAAAAATATTTAGAGATGGCCAAGTCGTCAAAAAAAGAGTATTATAGTCGAGTCGTAAAGAGAACTCTAACAAAAAAGAAAATGTTCAAAACCATAATATTTTAAATGGTTTATCTGTTTTTGTCTGTTTTTTTTTTCTTATACAACTTTTATGGAGGATGGATGACTCTTCCTCTCTTGCTTCCCTGCATCTAGCTTCTGTTGGAGGGGATGTCCCAGCTGTTTTGTTCCCTGATGTAGCCTCTTATACTGACTGTTGATTGGCTTGCTGGGCTGCATTGGGGTGATTTAATTCCTATTTGGAGCCTCTTTAACTTACTGTTGCAGCTGGGGTTTTGACCCAACTAGTTCATTTATTCTGGATTGCATATGGAGGATCCCTTCAATCAGGGTATCCTACAGACTTGTGTTTTGGGGGTTTGACTTTTTGGGTTTGTACATTTGAGTGTTCTCCTTGTATACTTGGTTCTCTATTAATACAATTTACTTTCTGAAAAAAAAAATCTTGTTTTAAGGATTTTCGATGTTAATTTTATGAATTGAATAAATTTGAATATAAATTAGATGAAATTGAATGTTACGAATTAAATGTTTATTAGTTGAATTTTAATGTTAATTTAATGAATTATATGTTTATTAGATAAAATTAAATTTTGATTTGAAAAATTGAATGTTAATTTTGTGTACATTTGATGAATTGAGTTTTAATTGGATGAAATTGCATGTTTGATATTGATGTGATAAATTGACTATTTATTGAATGATTTTAGATGTTAATTTGATGAATTATAATATTAAAAAGTTAAAAGTGTAATATAAAAAGGTTAAAAGTATAATATTAAAGGATAAAAGTGTAATATGTAATACATGATTGATTTTTCATTTGCAGGACCGGTCTTAATTAAATTACACTTACACCCATGAAGTATAACAATATTTTTATTTTGTTCTTTCAACTAATATTTTTATTCCATAACTATTTTTTTTGAAGATAAAATATAGGGGTGTGGTATCGGTTTCATGTCGTGTCACTTTCGGTCATGTTAATAAAAAATTATTTAATTTGACAACGACTAATATAATACTATTTAAAAAATTATAAAATTCTTATTTTTTTTTATCTAAAATACTTATTAAATAATTATTTTCTATCTACAGTACCCATTTATTATTTGTGTCAATAAATCGTGTAATTTTTGGATTTGTGTCGGGTTCGGTTTGAGTCAAAAAATTGACACCCCTAATAAAATACATAGACAAAATAAAAGTAAAATAATTTTTTCTTAAATATAATTGATATTAATAATTGGGTTATCGGGTACAACTCTATTCGGTACAAGTTTAATGGATGAATTACTGCATATGGTATAACTTTTGGTTAACTAGAACGGCTTTGGTTAACTACATGTCTTATAGTTACTGTCAAAAATAATTTTTTTAATGGATTTTAAAAAAACACGTGTCACCCATATACAGGCCAAGCTAATGCAGTTTGGCGGTAGAGTAGTGTTACCCAGTTACCCAAAACAACCGGTTCATCTCATGCCCCAACCGACGTATGGTTGAAGGGTCAACTCGGGAATTAAAAAAGTCCAGTTGCGTGGCATATCGGCAACAGCACAGCAGAGCACCGAGCACAGCTGCGTGCCGCAGAATGCCCCCATCTACTTGGGCAATCACGTGACTGTCACGTGGAACAAATATATCGTGGCAGTTATTGATTCGTCTATTAGATAGGCGACTGGAATAGTGTCCACAGGATATAATTCCACTAACAATCACCCTCACTCACCTTAGGTAAGGGCACAGCTTGTAATTTCATTATTTTCCCGGGGGCAAATACATGGCCAGTTTCATTTCTAATTCTGATATATCCCGCGTTACGTAGAAGCACGGGAAACAGTGAGTTTTAGTGCTTCTCTACTCAACTCTCTCTCTCTCTCTCCATTTTTTGCTGCAAATCTGTCGGGAATTGGAGGAAAGAAAGAGGCCATGAGGAATCAACGCAACGATCCGAACCCCTTTGACGAAGAAGAACCAGAAGTCAATCCATTTTCGGTAACCGTTTTGTAAATTACACTTTTACCTGTTTTTTCTTTCCTAAATCCGTCTATTTTTAGCTTTCTTAAATTTAAATTTGATTATTTCTTGTCTAATATCTATGTTTTGTAGTTAATTTCACGAGTGTGCTTATAGGTTCGGTGATTCTTATTTCATGGGTATTTTGTTAAATGGTGTTTGTTTGATCCAGATCTGAGAACCCTTGGATTTTATTATTTGTGTGGAGAAATTTTGGTATTGAATTTTCTCGTATGATGGGGGGTAGTTCTGAAATTAAAGTTAGAACTGTAAGCATTAATTTTGTTGGATTTATGGGGATTTATATGTTGTGGATCTACTACTCATATGCAAAATGATTATGTGATTTTGTGGGAATGGGCGCAAGGAGTATGTTTTAAGACTACCCCAAAGCTTAAAACAAAAAGGCTTTACCCATTGGATTACTTTTTTACTAGGGGGACCCCGTGCAATACATGGACTAGTCACTAGTGTATGTATTAAAAATATCATAAAATTCACCAGTATCACATATTGGTGAATCAAGTCTGTAGATTAATGGAACTATCCTCTATGTAAAAAAATCAGTCACTCATAAAGTTAAAATTCAGCTATACCCAAACTCATCAAAGCCTGTTATAACAACAATTTTCAGGTCATCTATAAAGTCAAAATTTATCCACAAAAATAAAAATTTCATAACATACTAAATTCAATTATTTCCACTAAAAATATGGAATCATATAAACCAAATCAAACCAAACCAAGCCTTATATCCCAATTATTTGGGGTCGGCTAAATGAGTCCATTTCGCCATTTATTTTGATCATGCGTTATATGCTCATTTAAGTTAAATATTTTTATATCTTTTCTTATTATTTCTTTCAATGTTAATTTAGGTCTATCTCTACTTTTAGTACCATTAAGATAAATTCTCTCACTTTTTTAAAACTGGTGTCTTTATTGGCTTCCGTTGAACATGACCAAACCATCTTAATCTATTTTCTCTTAACTTATCCTCAATTGGAGCGACTCTTACCATTTTTCTAATACGTGCATTTCTTGTTCTATCTTTTTTAGTTTCTCCACACATCCACGTTGACATTCTCATTTCCGTTACAATTATTTTGTTACTATGTTGTTTCTTAGTTGTCCAACATTCTGTCTCATACAACATTGTTGTCTTTATAGTTGTTTGGTAAAACTTATTTATTGGTATCATTCTATCATATAATATGCCAGAGGCTTTCCTCTACAAAAAATATAGAATCATATATGATCCTAAAAACTTGCCACACGTGCCCAAAAATCTTCACCATACCATACAATAAACTCCCAAATAATATATACATAAAAAAACTTCAGTCTCGGAACCTCATAACAACTTCCTAGCTGCCATTGTTAGATCACTTCCAATGGTATCCGGAGGCCCTAATATAAGTTATATAACCCCGTCGAAAAAATAGTTATGAAAAGTGATTAATTGATATAAAATGTTTCTAAGTGGGAAGTACTAAAATCAAGGGTTATGTACGCACTATAATCATGAATGTATAATTGATATATAAAGTTTTTAAGCGATAAGTTAGTCAAATCAAGAGTTACATGCACAATACAATCATGACCTCATACTATGAAGTGCTTTAATCAACAGTTCGCTACATACTTTAATCAAGACTTTATGATATTTCATGTCAGCTTTGAAATGCAATCACTGATAAATGCCATGTTAACCAGATTTGTAGTCTTATTTATCAGTAGTCACAGTGAAGACCTTGTGAAACTTGGTGTCTACATGTTGGGGTTTGGGAGATAAGAAAACTAGTGGTGGTGATGTTCTCTAGGTGATCAAATTGGAACTCCTGTTAATGAAAAAGAAATGTTCATTCATTCGGAGCAGTCTTGAACATTGCCTGGGGATATATTATCTACTGTAATTCTATGTAGGACTGGAGCAGGAGTGCCACCCCCTTTTAGGCCTACAAAGCGACGAGAATACTTTAGCAGTGTAACAAAAATCTGCACACATCTGGGTATGCTGTGAAACTACTGAAAATTTATGCGAGAAAAAGAGGTAGAGTCTTGGAATTTGAAGTGATTAAGAATTTGAAGAAATGGAGGTTGAGGGAAGTGCATAGAACATTTACAATAGAGAACTGAGAAGGTTAAGGAAACTGATTGACATATGTGAAAGAGAGAGACGTGCAATAAGGATAAGATAAAGTGATAGTGAGGAAAAAGAGTCTACCGATAGCAATAAAGGTTTATCCATACCAGACAAAAAAGTTAGAAGACGCCAATAAGAAAAAGCCACGTAATATTTTTTCATAGTGAAAAAATTTGAAATTTCAAAAATTTGGATTGATGGTTTTGTGGCCTCTCACCATTGCTACTTTCAAGTTTAAATTAGAATATAGAGGTATTTGTTGCATTTTATAGAAACGAAAAGCAAGCATGTGGCTGTTAAAAATTTTCATGTGTGGACTTTTGAGGAGCAGGAGAAATTGTTGGAATTCTATGAAAGAATCTCGGGAGCCAAGATGCATGCCAGTTTCATACCACCAGGTGGAGTGGCACAAGATCCGCCTCTTGGCGTATGTCTAAATATTGATTCCTCCACGCAACAATTTGCTTCTCGTATCAACGAATTAGAAGAGATGTCAACCGAAAAACCGTATTTGGAAACAACGATTAGTGGATGCAAGATGAATAAACTGTAGAAGGCGGGTGGACTACTGGCCACAAGCATTTCAATGCTTAGTGTAGTAAAAAAACAACACAATGAATGCACTAGAGGAAGCATTTGTGCTCGAGTCCTTAAGCCTTATTGCTATAATTGTGAAATCAGCTATGAAATAGTAGCAGTGGCCTCTGATACTGTTACACTCTGATTTAGCAGTGAGAATATTTTCACCTATATAGTGGTTGTGATGCTGGCGTAACAGGTTTTATTGGACGTTATGGTGGCGCAAACGCTGGTAAGAAGTCATTTCTGCCTTTGCTGTATTTCTTCTTCTATCTTCTCCTAGCTCGCCATGGCCTTTGTTTAGTCAGAGGAGATGTTCGAATGCACTATAGTCTGGACTTGAGAAGGGTAGTAGGTAGAAATCACTTGGGTTGGCAGGCTTTTGGGCATGGTAGAAATCAACTGCAACATGTTATTCTACATTCTATTTACTTAGTGGTGTTTGTTGCATTATCAACAAGTTGGATGAATACATAAGTGACAAGTGTCCGTATTGACGACAATGGTAGAAGTTTTCTGATGGAATTGGGCCCCTTTTTTCTCCCATAAATAATTCATACGCTCTCTGCAAGCAACTTTAAGAACTTTCTAACAATTGATATTGTGGCCCACATGTGCCTAATTCAAGCTCAATGTTAAATGGATTGCTGGATATCACATGCTCAACAAATGTAGGTACACTTTTATTCTATTGTTTGCTTGCATTAATTGACCAGTTTAGCATGCTGAGGTTATGAATGTAATATTAGAAATTATCATCAATAAAAAAGGATTTCTGTGTACTTGATTTGGACATAAAACGAGTGGATAATTAATTCCTTGTGAGAGGTGTGGATGCCAACAAAAAAAAAAAAAAAACTTATGTTCTCAGTGTTGTTACTGTTATCAGACACTTGCTACATACTGCGTTCCTTATTGTTACGGTGTCTGTTAGTGTTGTTTAAAACTATGCTTGCTGGTATTTCTAGGGAGGAGATTTTATCTAATTGTGCAAGATTAAGTTCTTTGTTGGCTATATGCAAGGATCAAAATGTCGTGTCGACACGTCCGAAACGTCCGAAACGTTTCGGAATTTCAACACTCCGAAACGAAACAGTAGTTGAATCACAAAATTCCAGTGTTTCGGTCGAAACGGTACTGTTTCGGACCGTTTCGGTCGAAACGGCATTGTTTCGAACCATTTCGACAAAACAGTGATATATTCGGTTCATTATGAATAATTACATTTAATACCCCATTATAATTACATTTAATACCCACTGTAATTACATTTAATACTCACTATAATTATATTTAATATCCCACTATAATTACATTTATTCCCACTGCTCTTCTGTCTTTTATAATTTTTTTGTTATAAGAATAAATAATTACACTTAATACCCTACTATAATTATATTTAATACCCATTATAATTATATTTAATATATACTGTAATTATATTTAATACCTCATTGCTGTGCAAGTTTTTTGCTTTTTTTTTTTTGTTATAAGTATTAACAATTACATTTAATACCCTAATGTAATTATATTTAATACCTACTGTAATTACATTTAATACCCACTGCAATTACATTTAATTTTTAAGTATACATAAGTATCATTAATTTAATTTGATACCCTTCATTATTAGTATTATAATAAAATAATATTATTAATTGGATTATATTACCGTAATAATATGATTTGGAGTAACTATTGTCATCATATTTATGTCACATATGGAGTTTCTCTAAGTAGCTACCCAGAGCCTACACCGATGTATGAGCCTGCTCGACACTCCACAGGGGAATGGATGTAACCATGTAAGTATGTACTCATTAGCATTTCATGTGTATTATAAGACCTTAATATTATGTAAAAATGTGTTTATTTCATAAAATTAAGTGTTTGAAACTAATTTAAGTGACTTTCGCCTCAAGTCAAACCTTTTTTTCCCTCAAATTTAAATTTATTCTTGTATAAATTGATGTTAACCTAATAAATATGTTGAATTAATAAATTATTTAGCATATCTTTATAAATTAATGGATTGCATTTGTATTTCTATGCGTTTCCATATTTTTTCTGCGTTTCCATTGCGTTTCCGAAATGTTTCCGAAACGTTTCTATTTTTGAGTTGACCGAAACGGTACTTCGAAACGAAATTTTGATCCTTGGCTATATGTACACCGAGTTAATTGATTGTTGTTTGGGTTACTGCATGAGGAGAGGCCTTTCGTTTCTTGGTGGGTTTGGATTTTCAAATGACTGACTTTACATGATAAGGACATGCAATTTTGACTTGGCACGCTAATTTTTTTTGTATTCATTTGATTCATGCTTGTCTCAAATGCCTTTTATTGGTGTCCATTGCAGAATGGCAGTGCTGCTCCTGGATCAAAGTTGCGCATTCCTAAAATGGTTGCTGATACCTTAGGTTTTGGCCAGAAACATGATGCTACAGTGGATATACCATTGGATACGATGAATGTAATCAGTTACTATTTCATACACAAATATCTGGTTACTGTTTGGAAATATGATTGGTATTGTATGTTATGGTATCACAGGATCCTAAGAAAAAGGAGAAAGAACTTGCAGCTTGGGATGCAGATCTTAAAAGGAGGGAACGGGTTGGTTTTGCTGTTCTATTACTATGCATGTTCTTGCCCATGTTCTTAATAAGTTTATTATGTGTTCATTAGGGAAGTCACTCAAGACGTGTTGTGTCATTTTGGGTCATGTCGTGTCATTTGGGTGGTATCATTCATGCCATTTTTAGTTTGTGTTATGTTCGTGTAAACAAGGAACTAGTAACCCAGGAATAAATAGTACCTTGCCATTTCTCAACCAAATCCACCAAACATGGGTCTTCCATATATTGAAAATCTACTTGATTAAAGTCCTAGTAAAATCAGATAAAAAACGCTTTGATGCTAAAAGAATCCATACAATTCTAGATCAAGGAATGATTTTTTTTTTTTAAAAAGAAAATCAAACATTTTGTCTTATGATACCAGTTAAATGTTTATTTGTGTCTGGCAACTTGATTAAAGTCCTAGTAAAATCAGATAAAAAACGCTTTGATGCTAAAAGAATCCATACAATTCTAGATCAAGGAATGATTTTTTTTTTTTTAAGAAAATCAAACATTTTGTCTTACGATACCAGTTAAATGTTTATTTGTGTCTAGCACTAGCCCGACACATTTATTATCCATGTTAATTGGCTAGTTATTTTTCGGGTTCATGTCTTGTCATGTTGTAATCGTTTTGTGTTCATGTCAATAGGTAAAATCGACACCCGTAGTTTTCATTGTCCCGAATAGCTCATCTATGTGGCAGGGGTTAAGTTTTTTGCCAAAAAAATTATTAAATTAGATGTCAACAATGCTTCTTATGACATTTCTTGATTCTGCACGTGTTTGTAACATTTACATGCAAGACATTTCAATTTGTTCTGCTGCATTGTGCTCATCAACTTGTCCTTCTGCAGGAGATTAAACGTAGAGAAGATGCTGTTGCCAGCGGTTAGTAATGAGACTAATTGGCATCAATAGTAATGCTATAACAACATATTAGTTAGTTTTTCAGCATGTTGTGACGTCTTACTATTTGTCTCCTCCCATTTTGCAAATTTGCAATCCAGCTGGCGTCCCATCAGATGATAAAAACTGGCCACCCGTTTTTCCTATTATTCATCATGATATAGCAAATGAAATACCACCCAACGCTCAGAGGTTGCAGTATTTGGCTTTTGCAAGCTGGTTAGGTATGGATTTTGTAATCTGGTTCTTTTGATTTTGAGGAAGTATGGAGATGGTTGTTTTCTCAATAAAGTTCCCATGTTTCCAAATGGGCCAAACAGGAAAGAGCTTCAATTTTTTTTTCTCTCTATAAATTGGCTCTATGCTGTATCTCTGGCAGGAAGACTTGCATTTGTCTGTAGTTGTTGTATTTAACTTCTTTTTGTTGCATGTGTCTGCTGCAAACATTTTTGCATTTTTGTTATTTCTTACCTTTTTCAACTAATATCTGCAGGTATAGTTCTTTGCCTTACGTTTAATTTTATCGCGGTGACTGTTTGTTGGATAAGGGGTGGTGGTAAGTTCTCTTTTGAAAAATTATTTGGTGCAATAAAGAGAAATGGGGTTGACAGTGCTTCATTATAGAGCCTCTGAACTCGTGGATTATCTGGCAGGTGTCAAAATCTTTTTTCTAGCCACAATATATGCGCTAATTGGATGCCCCCTTTCATATGTTTTGTGGTACAGGCCACTTTATCGTGCAATGAGGTACTGGTTATCCTTGTGGTCATTTTTCCCTCACCTTTGTTTTGTTGATTTTGGCCATCTATGGAAATAGAAAATGCCTCGTATTATGCATTGAACATTGTCGAAATATGATGTTTTGTTGGAGATTAGCAAAAATGAGTAGGCTGCAATTGAGCTAGGCTTAGACCTGATATGTCTAAACCTTGGAGATGCTCTAATGTAGTAATCTTATTCTGCCCTTAGATTTGAGTCGTATTTATAGCTACCATACTAAGAATAAGAGAGAGACTTTCTCTCCTACGTTCGTCGCCTAGCATCACTACAAGAGGGAAGGAGGCAATAAGAAATCTCCCCCATGTGCCATCCCACTTCTGAAGATAAGGGAGCTACCAAGTTGGGCATTTCTTCATAAAGTCAGGAAGTCTCCCCATTTGATCAAAAAAAAAAAAAAAGGAAGTCTCCCCTGGCTTTCTTTCTTGGTTCCCTTTCCCTTGTTGCCTATGGAGTGAGTTTGTTGATGGTAATGAGCCTCGCCTGCTAGCTCGCTAAGTGAGTTTACTTTCTCTTCCCTCCATGACTGCAGCCAGCCTGATACAGTAATATTTTTCTGCCTCGGATTGAATTGTATTTATAGCTCACTCACCAGTATATTTTTTAACTTCAGGTTGTTGAGGCATGGTTCATTGATAGGGCAGAATGGCAAAATAGGGTTCATGTAGCCAACCCCAAAAATGTTAGGACAAGGCTTTGTTGAGTCGTGTTGAGTTGAAGTTGTTGAGGCATGGTAGTCTATGTTCTGTTCTAATTCATATAGAGTTGGACAAGTGAGTGTGTCGTCGTTGTGTCCGTATCAATGCTTTGTGGGTAATTTGTCTAGAATAATGCATATTTTATTTCTTAGTGACTGAATAGTCTTAATCTTACTGTGTATGAACATGGGTTGAGTCCATTCAAACTTGTTTGTGAATGTATCGACTCATATATATTGGTATCTACTCTCTGTTGCACCATAGGATATCGTCAGGTACCTATAAATACTTGTCCAAGAGATAGGCCTACATTTGATTTTGTTGCATGTGGAACTCTGGATGAGGATTGTTTCGTCATTTCTGATTTGATTGTGATTTGACCTTAAATGTTGCTGTAGTAATGACATAAAAGTGCGGATTGGCTCCTGATGGAAGATTTTATCTCAACTTTTATTTTTGTCTTGCAGGACTGACAGTGCCTTGAAGTTTGGTTGGTTTTTCATGGTCTACTTGGTATATTTTCTTGATGCGACTTGTTTGTTAATTTCTTCTTTCATAGTTAGCGTGCTTTCCTTTTTTTGATGTCATTTTAATTATGCAGCTTCACATTGGTTTTTGCATATTTGCTGCTATTGCCCCTCCAATCGTCTTTCATGGAAAGTCATTAACGTAAGTTTAAATATTTATTGGTTTGATTTTGGGTTTTAATAATTTGTTTTTGGAAAGGTTGTTGATCAGTCATTATCTTGTGTTGGATTTTTCATCTTTTATTTATATCAACACTATCTCAGGTAATTACAGTATTACCCTACGTAAATATAAACATAAAAATAAGTACTCTAACATACTCAACTTGGGGTTGTTAGTATTCGATGAACAAGAGTTCATTATCTGTGCATCTTAAATGTCCTCGAGGTAGTTTTGCATCTCAACAATGTAATAACTCACCAGAGAACTATCCGCTTTCCAAGATCTGAAGCAGAAGCATGGAAGCTCTAAGCTAGAGCACTTGTGATATTTATTGCATGAGGTTGCCATTATAGAATGGGTAACACATGTCAACATAACACGAGCTTTAGTTAGTCTCCATGATAGTACTGGTGCTTCGGGCAATATCTTGTGGTGCAAGGGCCTGGACTGAAAGCAGATTGGACTTTGGGGTTAAACCTCTTCTAGCTACCTATCGTCCTTACAATAAAGGACAGATATATGGTGGTTACTTTTAGAAAACTGCAATTTTGAGCTAGGATTTTGTAGCTAATATTGGTTGTGGATGTTCTGTGAGTTACTCATCAAAAATGGAAAAATCAAAATTAGGAATTCTGGTTTTACTTGCTAGAAAAGTGCTATGATAACATTTTTTCTTTGTACGTGTTTAATTTTCATTTTAATTTTTGAACTAAAGTTGTGCCCTTCTCCAAATCTCAGTGGCATCCTTGCAGCAATTGATGTCTTTTCTGACCATGTTTTGGTGGGGGTAAGTTTTACACTGCCTTTTTTTTATTGATTGCAATCATGTTCTTATTAGTTCGTTCATTGATTGGCCATTTTTGTGCTTCCTTTTCTGTATTTGTATTTGTACCTCGTGGGTTGGGTAATCTCATATGATTGATTTATTATATTTTGGGACTAGAGCCTAACATGTTGCTTTAACCATTTTTTGATGCAAGTCTTCTGATTGAGAGGATAACTTTGTATGTCAATTAAAAAAAAAAAAAAAGAAGACACAAGAACGACAACAACAAAAAGAAAAACCAATATTACATTGCATTTCAGGTTGTCTTTTAATTTGCAAAACTTTAAGTTAATGTACTCTAGTTTAAGCTGCCTAACTATACGTAGCAAATCAGGTCATGTTATTCTTTAAGGTGCTTCCTGTCAAAATACCAATTATGCCTTGTGTTTTCATTGCAGATTTTCTACCTGGTTGGGTTTGCCTTGTTTTGCTTGGAAGCACTTCTCAGCTTGTGGGTGCTTCAGGTTAGAAAAATAATTGCATTTCTAATTGCTTGTCAGCCTTTGCCTTGCCCTGTTGCTTGTTTAATCACATATTCTCTGAGTTCCATCAAGTGTATTACTTTCAGACCAAAAAAAAAAAAAAAAATCAAGTGTATTACTTTAACAATCTAATCTTGCTATCAAATTTGTTCTCCATTGGCCTAAAATATACATGTTTTAAAAAATTGCACACCTTTATCCAAAGCCCCCTTTCTTCTCTGAAAGCCCCAAGTAGGCTGCTCTCTTTCCTTCCCCTCCCCCCTTTTTGCTCCCTCCAATCTGCTGCTAGTGCCCATTCCTCCCCGTCTACTCATCCCATGTGGGATTCCCACAAATTTGTTTTCATACTTTTTGACTATAGGTCATGTGAGAGTCAGAAAAGAAGAATTAGTTTAATTTTGAACAATTTAATCAGGAATATTAATCACCATTTTGAAGAGTAAATAAGTCATTTCTCAATGAAAATATGCAAATAAGCTTGTTGTGTCATTTTTGAAATGTCAAATGGTTGTCTTGTTGTTTGACAAAAAGAGGGTGTTCGAGTGAAATTTCCCCAAAAATCTATAACCGTATCCCTTAATGGAACCATAATTAGAAAAATGGTTGTGCTAACATTGTCCATTTACAAAGCTTGAACACTTCATTTTGACCAATGTCGGTGTCGGACAAGTCTGGTACATGGACACACTTAGAACACATGGTGTTGGACACGCTAAAATAAGTGTCCTTTTTTAGTACTATGTTTTCTTTTCGGACACGTGACTGACGCGCTTAGACATGTCATGTCTTATTCATGTCCTGAGTCTATGTGCTTCTTAGTTGTCCATGTAATAGAGTCGGGAGTAGGTGCATGTCATATTACAAGATGAGCAGCTGCATACACTAATGATGAGTTTTTAGACAATACAGTTTTCTTCTCTATTCTCCATTTTTTTTTTTTGGGGTTTTTTTGGGTTGGGGGGGGGGGGGGGAGATTGTTGTTTTATGTAAGCCTTCTCTGTTTCTTTGCCTCTAGTTTAGTCTCTGAAACCTTGTTCTTTTCCTTTGTCTGCAGAAAATTTATATGTATTTCCGAGGGCACGAGTGATAAATCAACCTGGGTCATGATTTGATTCACATGTTCCAATATTATTCTTGAGATTCCTGTTTGTATTCTTTTATATCCTTTGTTTCATCTCTTTATTGAGATATTTGATTGAGTTGAAGCACAATGATTGGCGTGCTTAATAGCAAATTTAGTTTTTTTCAAGATCGATAATGTCTAGTTCTCATGTAATAAATCATATTTGTCCTCTCGTAATTTTGTTCTATTTTAATACATCTATCCAAACTGGTGAGTAGGTTCATAGAACATTATTGGTGAATAGTCCTGGCCATGATATATATATATATATATATATATATATATATATGTATATATCAAATGGATATCCAGAATTGCGCGAAGTTGTTGATGCTAATTGGATTCCCTTGCTGAGTACTCCATGGTGTGTGCAAGTTTCTAATTTGAATATGTACGCCTGCTACTTGCACAGTTTGTGTAGAAATAGTGGTTGGTTCCTCAGAAATAAATTAGCTCGCGAGTTTTTGTGCACGTCAAATTGGGTGGCTTTTAATGAGTGAACATCGTTTCACTGATACCCTTGGAAGATGCACGAGGTTTGGAAGACCTGGAAATAAAAGAAGATTGTGAAACAGGATCGCAAAATGTTGTTTTTTTTTATTTGATTTTTGGGCAAGGGGGGAAAATGTTCCAGCTACACACCTTTGGACTATGGTTGCAGATGTTGGAGTTATCAGTGAAAAGGGTGCATGTGACGATTCTCCGTTACCGTTTATGACCTTGTTTCAGTTAACTAACTATGTTTCAATGTCGTCCTTGTGGAAAGTTCATATTCAATCTTCTGTGAGGAAAACACACTGTTATTACTCAATCTCGTCCTCGAGAATTCCCATGGTGTTGGGACTGAAGTAGTCTTCCACAAGTAACTGCAAGCACCGACAGGTCGGTTAAAATAAAGTGAAGTTCCGGGGATTTATGTTTAGATGTTGGTTGTTTTGTGAGTTACCAGCTCTGCCAAGATTTTCTGAAAATTATTGAATTGGATGAAGTCTTGGGTCAACTTTTTGACATATAACTTCTCATACAAAGTAGTAGTAACCGGCAGTACCGTTGAGTTCTCCCTGTTACATGGACAGCTAAATAATTGAATGGGCTCCAAATTATGATATTTAGAATCTTCTTGTCCTTCCAATACATGTCAAGGTATATAACATGATGCTATTTATCCCTTTGTGTTTTGATTTGTTATTAATCAAGCTTTACATTTTTTTGGGCCTCTAAATTTTGATACTCCCCCCCACCCCCCAATAAAAAAAAACCCTCTCTGTGCTTGCTCTTTTTGGTTCTTTTACGGGCTACAATATATTTTGCTTCAATGCTTGAGTGGTAAAGGCGTATGGTCTCCAAGGCAGATCTTTTGAATCCATGGTTATAACGTAAACTTCACATTTCCATAGTCGGCCATAAAATATGTATCGATAAATTCAAATTTTATGTGGGTTGGGAGACTTGTCCTGAGGATGAACACGTTTACATTTAATTTTTTGTTCGATCACTGAATCAATTATTGCTTGAGCACAGTTATATTGCTTTTCATAGATGGATAGAACAATTTAACAATAAGGACTGAAATTTTATGGCTTTTCCCGCTCTGGGATAACCTACTATTTGTTCATACGAGTAATGTAAGACTGACATACTTAGAAAAAATGAAACACAAAGATCAAATGATATGGCCTAATGTAAATAGCAATATGTGGCTGTTTTAGAGTAGAGGTATTAATCGAGCCGAATTTTACGAGTTTAACCTTAAGTTTGTCGAGTTCGTTTTTCTCAGCAAGTCTAAAAAATTGTTAAAGTTCAATTTTTTTAGAAAATCAGTCGAGCGCGAACCCGAATAGTTCAACTATTTTATATATAAATAAATTAAGTTTTGTTGTTCGAGTAATTTAAAAAATTGTTCAACCTCAACTTATTTAAAACACAAATCAAACTCGAGTCAAATTCTATCTAAATTGAACCAAATCAAGTCTGAATATTTCGTCTCAAATAACAGCCCTAGTTGAGAGAATTTGGTCCTCAAATGAACTTGGTACTACTGATAAAATTGTGGTACACAAAAGCATACTCAGGCAGATTCCAAAGTTGAATTGGAGTGACATAACGCCCATATCTCCTCCACTCCCCACCCTCTTCCCCTCATCTTCAAACAAGCCACCACCCTCATGCCACGTGGCATGACAAATATCCAAACTGCAACAAATGACCACCAAGCTTCTCCATGCCAACATTTATCACAAACCCCATCACCTCATCAACAATTCCATCCTTCCAATGAATTAAAAAAATATATATATTCATTTCAAAAAAAACTAAAAAAAAATTAAATACCCAAGATGCCCCAGCCTATTGAAAAAATACCAAGCCATGTCTGCTCTCTTCCCACCTTAAAATCACCTCCAAATTTGTCCAAACTAAGGGGTAGTCTTAGAAACCCATAAACAGTCACGCCTCAGCCTGCTCATCAAATCAAACACTTTCCTATCCAAACAAAACTGTTTTCTGTTTTCTCTACCCACAGCCTCTTCTTTTCATTTGTGTCTCAAAACTTCTCATTTGAAACCAAAGGAAAAAAGATTAAAGAACCTTTTTCATGCCTGCTCTGAAAACCAGCTGAGAAATCTTCTCTCTCCACCTCCACTAGAACTCCTCTGGGAAGAGAGAGAAAATGGCAGTCTGCACTGTGTATACAATTCAATCCCTCAACTCCACCTGTTCAATCTCAACACCCACAAAAACCCGCTTAGGATTTCACCAAAAGCAAGTGGTTTTCTACACCACTGACAAGAAAACCGGCAGGAGAGGAAGTAACAATGGTCCAAGTGAGATAAAATGCTCAGCTGGCGACTCACAGACCGTTGTGATTGGTTTGGCAGCTGACTCAGGGTGTGGAAAGAGCACCTTCATGAGGAGGCTGACCAGTGTGTTTGGAGGGGCAGCAGAACCACCAAAAGGTGGTAATCCAGACTCCAATACACTCATCAGTGACACGACCACTGTGATATGTTTGGATGATTATCACTCACTGGATAGGACTGGAAGGAAAGAGAAGGGTGTGACTGCACTTGATCCAAGAGCCAACGATTTTGATCTCATGTATGAGCAGGTTAAGGCTATCAAGAGTGGTGTTGCTGTTGATAAGCCTATTTATAACCATGTGACTGGTCTCTTGGACCCTCCTGAGCTCATCAAGCCCCCCAAGATCCTTGTCATTGAAGGATTGCACCCAATGTAAGTTTTTGCTTAGCATTCATAGTTTCTATAAAGTAATTCATGACCAAATTTTCTCTCTCATGATACATTTGGAGTCTCTGCCCTTTATTTATTCTTTATACTTGCAATTTTTTTTATTTGCTTTTCAGTGAGATGTACTGAAACTGATTTTGTTATTCTGAAGTCATTGGATCATGGTCTCTGTTTTTTAAGTAAACGTTTCCTTTTTCTCTATTTATGTGTACCCTTATGCATGGAAAAAATGTAATTTTTTAGGGAAAAATGTAATTTTTTAGGGAAAAATGTGAATAATTTTGCTTGAAAATGAAAAAAAAAGGACTAAATTTTAGTAGAGGAGAATGCACTTCATTAAACAAACATTTATGTATCAACTTTTTTGTTTGTCGTATTTCGTATTTATTTTGTATTATCCTAAGGATAAATGTGGCCAGGACTCTTCTAAATTTTAGTAGAGGAGAAAGAAAATCACCCAATATTCGTTTATGAGTGTTGTCCATTGGTTAAGATTACAAAGAAATCAAAGCAATCCTTGGCACCTTAGTTGTACGGTTGAGGAAATATGATTGTCCTTGTCAAATCTTTTGGTATTGCCTTGAAACTTTGATGATTTTTAGCAGACAACATCTCTTAAGTAGTAGCCTAGGAAACATATACATAATGATATGTTCATTTAAGTATCTGTTTTTATTTGCTTATTGTAATTCAAATATTATTCTGTTATTTGCAGAGGGACTTTATAAATAATGTCTTAAACCTTGTTTTTTTTTCCAAATATGTAGGTATGATCAGCGTGTGAGGGACCTTTTGGACTTCAGCATCTATTTGGATATCAGCAATGAGGTTAAATTTGCCTGGAAAATACAGGTAATTGGTCCTAAGATCGGATAAAGAACAAGGACTGTATTAGGTGATAGTCAGTGTAAAACTTGTTCAAACTCGTATGAACATGCATCTTGACGGAACAAGATTTATGTAGCCGGATCACAAATACTAAGGACAAGTTTTTGTTGAGTTAAATTGCTTACTGATACATATTGTTTTACATGATTATGTCCTATAAATATGCAGAGAGACATGGCGGAGCGAGGACACAGCCTCGAAAGTATCAAAGCTAGTATTGAAGCCCGAAAGCCAGATTTTGATGCTTACATTGGTCATCTTCTTACCCTAGCTTAATCCATCAATACCAATCAAAATTTGCATGGTTTTTATGTGGGTATCCATTTACCAAGCTGCTGTTTGGTTCTTGATTAGTCCTCTATATGTCTAGCATGCGCATGCACACACATATGCACTCATAGACAAACTTATAGCCTAGGGATGACCTTTTGAATTTTTGAAATATTCAAAAGTTCGGAGATAAACTTATGTAGTTTCTGAGTATTCATATTTAATACACTTTAATAAGATGAATTTTTCAAACTGTTTAATAGTATTCATAACTGATAACATACTAATAAGACATTTTTCAATCCTAAGTGATGATCATAGGGGCACCCAAAAAATCCATTCGAGGGCGGAGCTTAAGGGTTTTCTAAAATTATCTTTTAGCCCTTTTGATCCTGCAATATTGGACGCCCGGTTGGGATATTCTGGCTCCGCCCCTGCATCAATCACTGCACCCACACAATATATGCAGACCAAGTGTTCACACAAATGTTTCATTGTGCAGATACACAGAAGCAATATGCAGATGCTGTTATTGAAGTGTTGCCAACCCAGCTCATTCCTAGTGATAATGAGGGAAAGGTTTTGAGAGTAAGGTTGATAATGAAAGAAGGGGTGAAGTATTTCAATCCAGTTTACCTGTTTGATGAAGGCTCTACCATCTCATGGATACCATGTGGGAGGAAACTCACTTGCTCTTACCCTGGCATAAAATTTTTCTATGGTCCTGAGACCTACTTTGGCCATGAGGTATGTATGCAATAACCAGCCTCCAAAAACTTTCAGCAACTTCCTGGATATCATGCACTACAATTAGGAATGTTAATCGGGCCGAGATTGTTGAACTTGAGAATACATCAACAATCTTGATTCGGTTGTCGAGCTTAGATTCTTGATCCAGTTTGGCTTGGTAGAAGTTGAGCTTTCGAGCCGAAATCAAGCACAATCTCTCTATAAAAATTTATAAAAATGAAGCATTAGGAGTTAATAACTAGATATATAATATTATATTTTGCAATAAGAATCTCCCAAAATCTATGCAATCAATTATAACAGCAAACCCGTTTAAACATCTCAAAAATCTATTGTGAAGAGAGAGAAAGAAGTGTATATGTTCTGAAACTATTTACATAAATTTTTGGGTTGATCATCTTTCAATTACATGACTTAGATATGGCTCGTTTATAAAACAATCTTAGAAAACTGATCAAAGTTGGTTCATTTTTCAACATGAATAATCCAAAACAGAGTCGATCCTAAACATAAGTTGCTCGGATTGTTTAACAACACCAACTACAGTTAGTTTACTGCTTAGAATCACTACGAGGAGGAGATGAACAGTATTGAGTCAGATGTTCTCATTTAGCAGACTAGAAGAGGGGGGGGGGGGGGGGGGGGAGAGATAGAGATGAGTTTCAAGGATACCATCATTCACTATAATCTGCTTTGTTTCCTTCTGATTTCTCTTAGGTGTCTGTGTTGGAGATGGACGGCCAATTCGACAGATTAGACGAGCTCATCTACGTCGAAAGTCATCTGAGCAACATCTCTACCAACTTCTATGGTGAAGTCACTCAACAAATGCTGAAGCATGCCGACTTCCCGGGCAGCAGCAATGGAACTGGTCTCTTCCAAACCATAGTCGGATTGAAGATAAGAGACCTCTATGAGCAACTCATAGCCACCAAGGCTGCGGCTCCATTAAAAGCCACAAAAGCCTAAAAAAACTGGTTAAAACTATAGCTCACGAAACTTCCGTCATTACATATTCTCTGTGATCTAAAATTGTTCCTTCTCCTTAGCATTTTCCATGATTTTTATTTAGATTTTCTCTCTCTCTCTCTCCCTCATGTTCAAGTTGAGTGGTATGGTATTCCTTATATATAAAAGGAGAAACACTCACAATATGTGTGTATTTCATGTGGAGACTTGTAATATAGAAAAAACAGAAGCATAAGAAAATATGATCGAGGAACATTTGAACTTTTTTGGCAAAGAGTTATTTACTTTTGGTGAAAATTATACTTTATGCCCCCGTCTCATGTTGCGCCTCCAACTATCATGTTTCTCATATTATGCCTTAAACTGTAGTAATTAGTTCCGTGTTGTTGCAATGATTAATTTCCGTTACAAATTTAGTGAAAAGTTGTTTCACTCTACTCCCTAACTTATGTGATTTTATTTCACTTTGCTCCCTAAATCATGTGATTTTATTTCACTTTGTTTAGAAACATGACCATTTTTCATCAAAAAAGATAAGAGTAAACTATATGAATGATCCTTAAATTATGATTATTGTGTCAATTAAGCTTTTGAACTAATTTTCGTGTTCATTGAATCCCTAAATTATAAAATTTTAGCAATTAAACCCTGAACTAATTTTCGTGTCAATTGAGTCCCTAAATTCTAAAATTTTAGCAATTAAGCTATTTTATTAGTAGCCATTAAGTTTTTCAATGGAATGTCTCACATGCTCACCATATGGACATTGGACGAAGAATCTCATTCTTTACATCCATCAACCGAAATCCTAAACCTAAATCTCTTTCATACCCATCAAATAGTGTAGATCAAAAAATTATTCGCTCTGATATAGAAAATACAAATTACATAAATATATGCTTTTCGAAGACTATAGTTGATGGCTGAATATATAATTTGGTCTTCACTGCTCTTGGACCACCACTATCACCACCCATAGAGATCTATTATAGTTCATCTAGGTTTTTCATATTCTAATAGTTTCTCCTCAAGCTTTAAAAGATTATTATAGAATCAACTAATGCTAACCCAGATTTACAAACCTCTCTCTCGCTCTTTCTTCCACCCTCTATTTCAGAAATTAAACAATTACGAGAAGTTATATTGAAGGATATACACATTGAAAATAAATATCAATATGCATACAATCGTACATGAATAATGTCAAAATTAAATGATTTAATTTATGATAAAAATAGGTGACATGCTAAAATTTAAAATGCTAGTTATCTTATTATACCAATAAAATGAGTGAGCAGCCATTTAATATATTTTTTTGTATATTTTCTTTTTGATTTTTCACTTATTATAAATTTAAGTATGACTTTATTTATTAATGCATTGATGTATGATTTATTAAAAAATATATATATCAAAGACAATTCATATACAAAAGGGTTTTTCACACTTTATACCCTGAAAGATTTTAAGACTTTTATTTTATACCCTTAAAGATTAATTTTTTTATATTACATCATCAATGTATCAAAAGTATTACAATGTGACTTTTCAGTTAACTTTTGTTATTTTTTTTTTCAAAAGACAATTCATTGATATGAACAAATAAATTAATAAAAAATTAACAGAAGAATTATATCGTAATATTTTCGCGTTTTCAATTTCCATCATCATCCAGTCAATGCCGTGGGTTAATTGCCTTGTCACAAGTCCTTTCGGGAGTCGACTTTGGGTTGTGCTGGTCGTCGGTGTTATTGTCAAATTCATTGTATAATATAAGTTGTATTTATCGGATTTATATGGTGTTTAGTCAATTTTTATGTTAATTTATTTATTTAACAGTTATAACGGATTCAATAGTTTAAAGCGACAAAACTAGTAAGACTGAAATCAAACTCATTAATTCGTTACCTAGTGTCATACTGTTGTAACGGGTAAAAATTAATTTTAAATGATGTAATCATAGAAATAAAAAAATATATATATATTATTTAATATAATATAATTGAATTTTTAAGTTGTTGAATTTTATATTTTGTCGTATATTCGAACACAAATTATTACTAATATCCCTATATTCGATTTGACCCCTCTTTGGAGCCTTGCCATTGCCTTTCAACAACTTTCACTATTTACACAAAAGTCGTTTCTTTTTCATATTTCTTCAAATGGGACAGCTAATCCCACCAACTACATTAGATGACTTGGCGACCCTGGGGTCAGACTCTTAGACGACGTCACAGTTTGGTTAATTGGCCGAGTCTTTGACTGAAGTATCTATACCTTGGATGTGTGTTCGACTCGCAACCGTGGGTCCTGATTTAACTGTTGCATCGATTGAGAGGTCGGTTCGTGTTATACTTCTCCGAATGGAAATTATCCCCATAAAGGACTTAGAGTTAGATTTGAGGAAGATAATTCACTTGAAATTAACCTTTTTCTATGTTAGAAGATTCAGATAATTTTGTCAATATGTACCCCAAGAAAAAAAAAGTCCTCCGTAATTATACTTAGGAAAGATTTTTGTAATTTCTCAAGGGTCCGTTTAGTTAAGAAAAAAAAAATGATAGAAAGTAAAGTGGAAGAAAAGAAAATAATATAAAATATAATTCTATACATGTATTTTGTTAGAATGAAAAATTTGCAGGAAAGTTTTAAAAATAATTCATTCTATTGTTTGAAAGAAAAAAAAATTATAAGAATTTTTTTATAAAAGTCTAAATTACTCTTAATTATATTAAATTGGTCTAAAAAGGGAAAAACAATTATAATTGAAAGTTCAAATTTTTTTAAAAAGTAGCTCGAATTCTAATTCTAGGACAACCATCAATACAAAAGGTCTTTGAGCCAAATTATGTGTTTAATCAAATTCATACCAATTTTGTTTTCAATTAATGGATTACACCTTTCTTGTATTTCCTTATATTTTTTATAAGAAAAAAGAAAAGATGGTTATTTGTGAGAAAATTCAAATGTGAAAGAAAATTATTTTTTTTATTATTTTATTTTTTATGTTAACCAAACACATAAAAAATTTTATTTCTTAAATATTTTACTATTCTCTCGCTAAACAAACAAAAAAAACATGGCAAGTTGCTTTCGAGGAAAGGAGACGATGGATCCCATCCCATCATAGTTATTTGGATCGCCGGTTGATTTGTTCTGTGGTACAATACTTATTTGAGTACGTCGTATCATGGGTATGAGCTAACTTGGTATTTATTTTGAGTCATCGTATATTTTATCACTTTTATATGGAATAATACATTCATACACCCTTACAATCCCGACAAGGACGTAGCTATTAGTGGATTAAGGTGGACCGAAGTCTAGAGTAAAAAAAAAAAAAATTATTAGTAGAATATATGTATTATAAATTTAATCCATTTAAAACAAAAAAATTTGAACATAATATTATCTATCCAAACTTATTAAAATTTATCCAAATCTATTATAAAATTTTTTAATCCAATATTAAAAAAATAAAATTTTTGGCTCAATATTAAAAACAAAATTTTTGGGTTATTAATAGGCTATGTTTATGAGTTTACATTTATATTTTATTAATTATACGAATACTTAGCTTAACCGGATAAACAAAAATTCTGCTCCGGCCTTGGATCCCGATATCTATGCTCTCGTCAATCTTGGAAGTCCATAGCTTTGCTGGCCTCTGATTCAGTGCCTGCATTTTTTTGCTATAACCAACCACACCATCTAAGACCCATTTTCCGCTTCTATCTGTGGCAGCAGAACTTGCTTATTAGTGATGAATAACAAGGAAAGCTTGGTAATTTTCTCTCTCTTTCTCCCTTTCTTGGCCTTTGTTGTTGCATCATCGGACGACACACTCCAACAAGGTGCTATTCTCACTTCCTCCTCCTACCTAGTGTCTGCTAAAAAGGTTTTCACCTTGGGATTCTTTAGTCCCCCGTATTCGAAAGAAAACTACTTAGGAATATGGTACACCAACGATTCACAATCCCATCCAGTATGGGTTGGTAACAGAAACACACCTATTCATAACAATTCTGGTGTTCTCGCCATCGATAACACCGGAAATATGATAATCACACATAATGGAGGGGATACTATTGAGCTATATACGACTCAAACCCGCGATAATAAAACAGCTACCCTGCTGGATTCTGGCAATTTTGTGGTAAGAGAGGTTAACTCCAATGGAACCACAGGACATGTATTGTGGCAGAGCTTTGACTATCCTACAGACACCCTTTTGCCCGGGATGAAATTAGGGGTCAGCCACAGGACTGGCCGGAATTGGTCACTTACATCATGGTTAGCAGAAGGAGTACCTGCGCCTGGGGCTTTCACACTGGACTGGGACTCCAGGCGAGGGCGGTTGATAGTTAGGCGAAGAGGAGTGATTTATTGGACTAGTGGGGTGTTGAAGGATAAGGCGTTTGAATTCATTGGTAAATCAGACCCTAGAAATGTTGTATATGATTACATCAATGTTACATCTGAGGAGGAAGAATACTTCAGTTATTCACTTATAAAAGATTCAAGATGCACACCTGAGGGACGAAAAGCTATATCAGGATGGATGTTAGATTACAACGGACAAATAAATGATCAAGATAGGCCTCCAATTGCGCGGGTTGATCTTTGTTATGGCTACAAAACCCGAGGATCAGGAGGAGTTTATGAAGGATGCGAGTTATGGGAACAGCCTACGTGTAGGAATTCTAACCAGAAGTTTGATTTAAGATCTGGGGACTTTGGTAACATTGATGAAGAGTCGTCATTTTATGATGGCAATTCAAGCCTTGGTTTCAGTGACTGTCGCGCCAACTGCTGGAACAACTGCGATTGTGTTGGCTTTAGGAACGATGGTGACACTGGCTGCCTCTATTGGAGAGGAAGATTGAAGTTTTATCAAGATAATAGCGATGTTTCAAGGGCTCAATACGTTCTCATTTCAGAGTCTTCAAACAAAAGTAAGTTTATAAACATACTCCAATTATATTAACTCAAAAGATTATTGGAGAGAAACACATACAGTAATTGGAACTGAATGCAGGATGGGAGAGATATAAATGGGTTGTCACTGGTGTTGTAAGTGCATCATTTGTGCTTCTCTTGGGCCTTTTCTGCTACCTAAGGAGGAAATTTAAACAAGGTAAATCTCTCTAACCAATTATAGATCTTTGTTTTGAAATTTCTCAACAATCAGTATCGTCTTTAAACAATCATTATTGTCTTTCTTTATCCCTGACCAAAAAAAAACTATAAGCGTTATCATCATAAGCAAGAATGCAAAGTTGCTTTCTGTATGCAGGGCAGGAGAGAGATCTATTTGATTTAATGACACTTGAGGGGCAGATGAACACAGATGAACTTGAAAATGATGGCAACAAGGGTGGTCATGATCTCAAAGTATTTAGCTTTGCATGTATTACAGCTGCTACAAATAGCTTCTCATCAGAAAATAAGCTGGGAGAGGGAGGCTTTGGACCTGTTTATAAGGTATGTTTCAGAAGAAATGTTGTTTTAGTTACATACTTGGTACTACTGTACAAGCTGTTTGTGTATATTTATATGAATTAGATTTTAGTGTAAATCTATAGTAGATGTATTAAGGTACAGAACTGATCATTTTCAGGGTAAATTGCCTGAGGGTCGAGAAATAGCAGTAAAGAGGCTGTCACAAAGGTCGGGGCAGGGATTAGTTGAGTTTAAAAATGAGCTGATACTCATATCCAAACTCCAGCACAAGAATCTTGTTAAGCTACTAGGGTGTTGTGTTCATGGAGCAGAGAGGATATTAATCTATGAGTACATGCCCAACAGAAGTTTGGACTTTTTTCTCTTTGGTGAGTATGTGATATCTCTCATCCTAACGTTTGTTTACATACATCTTATCTTTGTTCAAAAACATAGATTCATATGTAACAGTGCTTCCACACTACATTTTGAGGCAGATCAAACTAAGAGAGAACAATTAACTTGGGAGAGACGTTTTCACATCATCGAAGGGATCGCTCAAGGCCTACTTTACCTTCATAAATACTCACGATTGAAGGTCATCCATAGAGACTTAAAATCTAGTAACATCTTACTTGACGAAGATATGTCCCCGAAAATTTCTGACTTTGGTATGGCTAGAATTTTCGAACATAATGTATCAGAAGCAAACACAAATAGGGTTGTCGGGACATAGTAAGTGAATTCATCAATGTTTTAGTGATTGTTGAATTTTACTAACCCCATATAGTGATTACTAATCAATTTATTATCGGAAATTTACTGTATGGTTTCATATATAGTGGTTACATGGCTCCGGAGTATGCCATGGAGGGCTTTTTCTCTATCAAATCTGATGTCTACAGTTTTGGAGTTTTGATGCTTGAAATCCTGAGTGGTCGGAAGAACAGTAGCTTCTATCATGTTGATCGCCCGTTCAATCTAGTGGGATATGTAAGTAATCTAGAACTCGCCATCCAATTACATTTTTCTTTATAATTTTTGACACCACCTTTACATAATTCGAATGAGACAAAGAAATTAACAAGTTTGTGCTAAGATTAATCATGTTTTTGCTGTGAAAAGGTCGACGCGATCAACATCCTTATTAAACAAATTGTGTTTGAGTTTTTAACGTCAACATTTTGGATACATATAAATATGATCCATGCTACAAGTATGACCCATGACACGAATATAACTTGTGGAGCTTGGCTAACCCTAGATTTTCTACTGCTTATATATTTGATTTTTTTCATATTTTTTCGACATAACACTATAGTTCATGCAGTGTGTGCTTAGGACGTAGTACCAGTCTAACCCGACATGAACCATTTATCGAATGGGTTATGCATCCTCATACATGGGTCACATGTGTAATACTCGACAACCAAGAACCCTATTGATACTACTCAATCGTCACCCCTAAATAATATGTTTTCTGACATTCTAACTCGATAAAACGCCTGCAGGTATGGGAGCTATGGAAGAAAGATGCTGCACTTGAGCTCATGGACCCAATACTAAGTGGTTCATGTATCGAACAACAACTACTAAGATGCATTCAAATAGGCCTTTTATGTGTAGAAGATCGTGCACTGGATCGCCCTACCATGTCTGATGTTATTTCAATGTCAACAAATGATAGTATGACTTTACCAACCCCAACAAAACCGGCATTTGTGACAAGCAGTGGGGTTGATGAAAGTGACTCAGGACGTCAACCAGAAATATATTCAGTAAATGGGATCTCCATTACAGCAATGCATGCAAGATAAAGGGGTGTATATGGACTTTTTGTAACTCAAAACATAAAGTTTTGTATTTGTTATAAAGCTTTATATTTCATGTAAATGACATATGCAGATAACATTTAATATGAGATGGGGTAGTGCCTGAAATAATTGGGTATTTTGACATGCAATTTGAGCAATGTTATTAGAACTTAATTTGCTGATATAATTCATTATATTCATTGGATTGACCGTGGGTCCTATCAAACATTGGAACTTTATTTTAATCTAATAGTTATAATGAATTCATATTATTAGGTCAGACTTTTAAATCCCAATAGCATTACTCATTCAATTTTACATTGAATCCATGCTATTTTAATCAAGGGTAAAAATCATAGTTGGTTTTTGAATTTTTTCTTCAGTTCTAATTTGGTCCTTGAACTTTAATTATTCAAAATTAGTCTTTCAACAATCATTTCATCTTAATTAAGTCATTCTATCAATTTTCACTTTCAAATTAAATAGAGATTAGCCCAATCTGATCCATTTTAGCAATTGATCTAACGGTATATATTGACTTAATTTATACAAAATTGATAGTTGAGAGACTAAATTGGAACAATTGAAAGTTCAGATATCAAATTAAAACTAAAGGCAAAGTTTTGGGACCAATTATGATTTTTAGCATTTAACCAATAATGCTATTTGGATTTTATTTGCCAATATAATATCATGCCATAATTCATCACGATCATCGAATTGGTTACAAATTCCAATAAATACTAAGGCTCACCGTTAATCCAATTCAATCCAATAATTATGAAAATTCATCACGATCATTGAATTGATTACGAATTCCAATAAATACTTAGGCTCACTGTTAATCCAATTCAATTCAATAATTATGAATAATTAGGTCAATAAATCAAGTTAAAGTAAAAATTTTATATTTTAATTACAGCACAAGAATCCACCACCTTTAAATAGTTATTTTTCACATATATATTGAGACCCACTTTGAAGAATCCTTCAATTTCAGTGGGCATCCTTGCCTACCCAACTTTCATGGCATCTTGTATTGAATTGAGTTATTGTCGATATGAACACAAGAAAGTCTATTGTTATCTTTAGTCATATGATTTGGTGTTTGTCCTCAATTCCGGCCAGAGCTGGGGACACCCATTTTTCCTCAACCATACCTCCTGAGAGAAAATTCTCAGATACCAGTTTGTGTGAATAGTAGGAACACTTGCGGCATTCATGACTAGAACCGTGTTAAGACTTTTTTCTCTTGTTCAACGGTTAAAGATGTCTATTTTATTTTACGTGTATTTCGATTAATTTTTTTTCTGATTCAGTTAAAAATAAGTAATTCATGCGAGGACTGAAATATTCATCAGGGATAAATTTCTTATGACTTAACCCTAAAAGATTATCAAAATTCGAATTTAAGATGTCTGAGTGTTAAATTTTTAGTAATATTTAGCCAAACATTTCATCAAATTTATTGCACCAAATTAATGATGGCGTTGGATTAGTAGGCTCCACCACTCTTACTAAACATCGAATACTTAAAAGTAATGTCACATCATTTCGTGAATATGTTTTTGTTTTCTTTTATATCTTTGTTTCTTCAGGTCAATCAAGAAGTGAACATATATATATATAAACAAAGATGGTGCTCCAAAATAGTGGCTATTAAATCCAACAAACACCAAATTTTTCTAGTACCTCCTCATGTAAAGCACAATTTTATTTTTTCTATTTCAATTAAGTTTAATTGTTCATCATTAATCACACTAACTAGAGAGGTTCTATAAATCCCAATCTTTCAAGAAAAATAATAATTTGGCGTTAGGTATTTGAACTTGCCAAAATTTGGTATTGGGAGTGCTTGAAATAGTGAAAGACTCGGTATTCATTTCGGCCAAGAGTTCAATAATCCCTGGGCAAAATAGATATGTACAAAGGGTATATCAGGTACTTACAATGTACTAATCTTATGGTTTTGAATTTCTTGTTGTACATTGACCTAAAAAAGTATCAGTATATACCTTACTATTTTCCTAGAAGTGAGGAATTGTTGCTTTTATGAACTGTATTGTCCTACATTGCACGTTTACGATTAAGATATCAAAATATGACACGATCATTTAATACAATACGAAATTATAAGAGTTGGATCTTCCTTACACCATTAGTTTTGTAAACGAATTACTCGATAATACACGATTTAATAAATGAATTGGATATAAGTGAAATCAATCAAAAGAAATACATAATATTACTCATTTATAAACCTGTTATACACAATTTATATACAACACTACCTGGATATGACATGATTCGCTAGACACAATAAGTGAATCAGGTATGAATTGAGTCTTTTTGACACGAACCTGGTAAAACTCAACATGAACCCACCTCACCTGACATGATTCACAACCTATTCACGATAATAACGATCCAAATTCAACTGGTTCTACCAATCTGGATGACATCGAATGGTAAATGTTCAATCCAACCAATTAGTTGTGCAACAACAACATTTGGACTCAGAATTATCGTCAATAATGCTTCTTAAAAGTACCTCCATGTACACTTTTCAATTCGACGAGTCTAGCCCTTCTGTTAGTTCTTTACCCTAGTGCATCAACAAAATCTGCAAATTTTGTACAGCATATAGCTAGCTATAACCGATACGCCAATCAACAAGAGACTGCTGCTTCTATCACCATATGACTCCTATAAGCCCATGGAAAGGGTGGAAATGGAGGAAAAAAAGATGGGTAGTTTGTTTCATCCAATTACTGCAAGCAAGTTTTGCCTGACTGCCGGAACTGAGCAAATCAGAGAACCAAATATACCAGTCAGAGCATATGCAATGGCACAAAATGGGAGAGCCTCCGGTTCTTTTGCTGACAGTGCTGCTGTTCCTAATCCGTGTGCACTGGAACAAACAAGAGAAGAACAATGTTAAGGCACAATAGTATGTACTTGATTTGAAAATCATCATTTCCCTTCTTCTGAATTTTCTTTTCTCCCCTGAATGAGTGTACATTTCGATCAAATCTTATGATTATGGAAAATGCCATCAAGTTTTTATAAGTTCACTTGGCTCTATTTGCATCAATGGAAAATAGGGAAAAAGCAAAGCGGTAAAATACTTATGTCAATTAAGTTTTATAGTATCTACTATAGAAGAGAAGATACTCTTGCTAGAAGAAAACATAGACACTGTCAGAGCTTGTCCAGATATTGGTAGTGTAAGGCCTCCGAAAACTAGCATAGGAGGTTCATGCATCAGTCTAATGGTTTGTTTCCACATGTGCAACATGAAAGTGGGAGCCGAGAGGTTGTTAGAGCTTGACCAATATCATTATTGTGAGACATAAACTCGCATATGAAACTTGTGGACCTGTTCACTCATCCGTAATTAATTTTTAACCAGAATATTTAATACATAAGGATAATTGATTGCATCCTCAATTGGGTGTCTGAAGCCTCATCTATAAAAACTCAGCTCATTCTGTAATATGATGAGTATGTCCGGTGACAACTAGAGCTGCAAAATCTACACATATATTTTCATGATTGTCGCTCTTCAATTATTGATTAGCAAAACTTCTCCCAATAAAAGAAATCAAGAGAAAAAAAAGTGGCTACAGTCATGGAGCAACTATAAGCCAAAAGCTCCACAAACACCTGTTTCATAAGGCCATATTTCTTTCTTTTTTGAAAAGAAAAAATCTTTCAAGCAGAGCAGGGCAGGGCAGGGCAGGGCAGGGGATTCCAAAATAAGACCATCTTTCATTGTGGAATTTGCAGCGTCGTAAGACATGTATTTTAATTTTGTTCTGATTTAGTTGCCTCTCTCATAGAGGCTAACCTAGTTACTATTTTCTTTTTCTTGGACATGCTGTGTCTTTCCCTTCTTCAATTATATAAAAAGAAAAGGGTAAATTAAACTTATACCCCTGAACTGTCATCCTTTTTTTACTCTGCTCCCTCCACTTTCAAGTTTCTCACATTACACCCTCAACTATGTAATTAATTTTACATTGCCCCACTTGTTAACATCCGTTACATATTTAACGGAAAGTTATTTCATTTAGTCCTCTAAACTACGTAATTTTTTTCACTTTACCCCAACACATCAGCAATTTTCGTCCAAAATTACAACAAACATTTGCGATTGGGGTAATGTGAAACAAAAGTGTTAGTTGAGGGTGCAACGTGAGAAATATGATAGTTGAGGGGCCAAAGTGAAAAAAGGGTCATAGTTCAAGGGGAGTAAGTGTAATTTACCCAAAAGAAAACAAATAATAAACTGAAGACATACACAAAAAAGGCAAATGACATCCAGAAGATCCATCAAATCCCCAAATCCCCACAACTATATGTAATTAAGTTCAACTGTTCAAATGAAAAGAATAAAAAAAATACAAAAGCTACATTTGAAATGCTCTTAACTTCCTCTATTAAACATTGTATCTTTATCTCTTGCACCTGGTAATTTCTATCATCCATCATGATCAACTTATTGCAAATATATGATTAATTTTACTCAGAATTGCACTTCAAACATTCATTTGATCCATTTGAACATGTATCATATACAAAAATAGAAATAATATACTTAAACTGTCAATGATTCATCATTTATAGAAGGAATTCATACCTAGATGCAGTTGCAATTCCTCGTGCAATAGGGTCGTTGAAACCAAGTTTATCAAGCATTGCTTGAACGAAATTTGCTCCCACCAGACCAGTTAAAACAACACATGCAGCGGTGAGAGATGTATTAGCACCTGAACCAACATGGGATAATGGAATCCTCTTAGACTATATTATCAAGCCATATACGAGCATCTTAATGCTCAGCTTCTAGAAATTTATTACTAGTTTGAGAGACAAATCAAACATTGAATAAATTGATAGTTTCATCCCAGAATAATATCAGTCTGGAGGAATATCTGCATCTGCATCTACTTCTAAGGGTAAAAGAAGTAACTGACCTTCAAAAAATGATACAATGCTGAGGGCTAGTGCCACAGTTATACATCTGGGTAGAATTGATACAGTTAAACTTGGTTCTAACCCAACAAGACGTCCAACCAGAGCAGTAGAATACAATGAAAACAGAGTTGCAACAATGACAGATGTGAATATCTCTGTTGCGTGCCTCTTCACGAGCTGAAACGACAAAGCAACAGTTATCACTCCATGAAAGAGCATTTCTTAAACACCCAGCACCCCTCCAGGTCAAATAATAGTAATGCCACTAGATAAGGAGGACAGGGAATAGGAGGGGGACATCAAAGATTACAAATTATAGAATTACTGTAGATAATCTTTGATGTTTACGTTACTTCTCCTGTTTCTTTTATCTTTCTTTTCATTTCTTCTCCGTTTTATACTTTGTCGATATCGAGTGCTATCCCTGCCCCAGTGAACCCAAGACTAATCACTCCAATTGTATAATTTGACCTGCAGGCCTGTTGTATTAGTCTACTCCATCATAGGAGTACCCATGTCTATTTATGGATCAATATCAATTGGGATCATGAAGTAAGCATACAAAGATTGCCCCATTCTTCAATCCACTCCTATATCTGTTCTATCAACCTTCTGAGAGGTTTGTCACCATCTTTTTACTATCATGAAACTTCTCAGTAAACTTTTATCACTAACCAAACTAATGGAGACCAAGTCATATGAACATAAGATAAGACTCCATGTCGGGATAAATCAAAAGGGTAACACAGAGAAACATGGTTTGCTCCCCGACAAACTGCTGACCTCCAGCTGATAGGTTTTTTTTTACTTACTAAAAGTAGAAGTATCTGAACACGTTAACACAAAATTGCTCACTGTATCAGGGAACAATTGGGTTACCTTTCTCTGCTTGAACATAGAAAAGGCAAAAGAGATGATAACAGATCCCAAGAATGCCATCAGAATGTCACCAGCTCCAGGATTAGACGAGACCTTTGTAAGATAATATCCTGTACAAGTTAACAGAGAACCAACATATCGACGTATAAGGCTTATAAATTTATTAAGTTGGAACTCTAAACACTACAAGGAGGAATCACAATTTGGAGTGATTATTTGAAACTTCAAGATGTACAAGGTGAAAAAGTCAATGGAACATCAATGGATAGAGTATAAATATAGGGATAATCATGTGATGAAAGAGAAGAGCATATGTAAGTTTCGCTCCCGTAAACTGTTCTGTCATTCAATTCAATACATAGCAGCAGCCACATTAATTTTCGCTCCTTTTCTCAACCTGAAGTCCAGGAGAGCAGTATATATAACCCTAGTCACAATCCTAGAGATTATACCCAAGAGTATAACGGTTTTATATTCAGAACACGTGGAGAGACTTTCAAACTAAGTCACTTACAAATTTAAAATGTATAAATTACAAAAGCAAGACTTTCAGTTTTCCTTCATCTTGTGCTTCCAAAGTTAGGGATGGTCCCAGGAATTTAGCTCAATTTAAGAGTATCCTAAAGTGTTGCTAACAGTTAAAGATTGTTCAGGATGCTATAGTTTTGTCACTTAACACTGACAACAAATCTCAACACACAGGAACTGAAATTGGCATGCTCCATTTGAGTTCTGAGAAGATACTGGGAAATATGCAAAAATTTGACACTTTGAGTACTTTTAGTTGAAGAGTGATGATATTCTAATTCATTCGATTGCTTCTGTCTTTTAGACAACCAGTGTGGTGTACATTAATAAGGGAACGCTGAAACTGGAGGTTGAGTCTATACCTAGAACCGGATTCAGTCCAGACTGGGAAAAGTACCCAAAAGCCAATGCTGCCAGATCTGCTGATAGTGCACAGCAAATAATTGGATGGAAAACCTTCTTCACATTAGATGGCAGCCTGAAGATTGAAATTAAACCAAGTAATGAACACTTTCCAAAAGAGACTTAATATACGGTCAGATAAGAGTGAAAAGGGAGAAAAGAGTTTCTACCAAAACATGATAATATAGATATGCTGAGGAAAATGAACTTTACCCAGAACCAACCATGTAACCTAATACAGTAGACGCCAGTAGAAAAGGCAGGCATGTTCTAGCAGTTGTTCCAAGTACTGTAGGGTATAAAAGTGCCACAACAAATGAAATGAGAAAAATTCCACTCCAAGCCCACACTTCCATTGAAGAGAAAGGAGAAGGCTTTGACATAGGCTCGGCAGGTATCATTTCTGTCTTTACCATTTTTCTTACTGCTATAGCGGTATAACCAGCCACAGAGAGTGAAGCCAGCCACCCTCCAACTGCAGAAAACCAAGAAACAGTAAAACACTACCACCAGCAAAAGAGCTTACATGAGGGTGGGGGGAGAGACACTTGAACCTTCTAAAGTCGTACAGCTCAGAAGAAATCTGAGGTTTTGTTGCTCACAACAATTTCAACCAATATATTCCTTCTTCAGTAATCCATCGTTGAAGTATGAATTTCACGAAAGACTTCACAAAAGAAAATAAAACTTGTTGCTTTGTAGTACTTCAAGCTAGCTCGGCTGAGCATGGCGGTGCAAATTTAAAGTTGATAACCCAAAGGAATTTGTATGTTAAAAATGAAACCCATGAATTCGTCTAACAGGGCATTGTAATGTATGCCTCAGCTATTGGAATAGTACTATAGCATTAACTCAGAACAATGGCCACCATTGAATCATGTAAGGATGAAAACCCAAGATAAAGTAGCTGAAATATATACCTATAATGAAACATATCTTCACTCCTGCTGCGGCAGGAATATCTTTAACTGCAAGAGGCAAAACCACCAATGATGGCACATAGAACAATGGAAGCCATCTCTGGATAAACAGAAGCGCAGGCTCAAAGAAGTTCATCAAGTTTGTGGCCGCAGCAGGGACAGTAGAATCAAGAATCATTAGAATGGTGAATATACAAAACATCCCAAATAGGGCACTTGGGAATTTAATGGCAGCAGCCACAAAAGCCTTTTTCAAGAACTTATCCATTGCTAGAATAATCCCAAGTGAGACAATCAAATGCAACGCTCCAAACACCTAAAGCAACACATATAAGAACACCCATTCAAACTAATCATTCAAACAATAATTAATCATTAAAACAACAATTCAATAATACAGAACAACATAGACAGACACCCATTAAAACTAATCATCCAAACAACAATTCAAGAGTACATAAAGATTCCAAAGATCGTTACACACGCTGCTCTGAAGGGTTGTGGAGGCAGTACTGCTGTCTGAGCTCATTGATCTGGCCTTAATCTTTCTATTACAGTGAGTTTTGTGGGTGCCCATATGCAAATACTTGGAATGAAGTCCAAGAACCCTAGTTGGAAGTGAAGGTTCACGGAAATTACGCGAACTATGAAAGATTTGGACATCTTTGGAAGCTACTGGTGACAATCTCGAAAGGGTACTGTTAGGGTTTTTGGCAGAGTTGGGACAAGTTTGAGAAAAGATTCTTGAACGGCGGTGATTGGGAGGAGAAAAGGGTAAACTTCGTGGGATTGCTGAGGCAGTCGCCATGGGAAGAGTGAAGGACAGACTGCAGTTGGGGAGAGAGAGAGACAATATTTGAACTGGGTGGGCGTAAAATTTTTTGTGGACACGAGGAGACGTTGGAAACAAAGAAGATGAGAGAGAGAGAGTGCGTGTCTACGGCAAGCATTCCCGGGGATTATTTAACTTACAGTTTTGTTCGTTGGTCCCCATAATTTATTATGTAATTATTATCACTATAAGTCTTAATATTTATTAAAATTTATTATCAATTCATTGATTATAATTAATTAAATCAATAAACCGAGCTAGTATTTTAGATACAAAAAAGAGATAGCATGTTGATAATTATTTTTGAATATTAATAATTAATAAAATGTGATATAATGTTAAAAATACTTCCCTTTTATTGGTGCGATGTGCACATCAAGATCAAATGAATATTACGTGTATCTAAAGCATTAAAAGACACTAGATTACCTTTTTTATTTTTTATTTTTTGTCATTTCTTAATGTAAAGTCTAAATATGTAAAAATAAATAAAAATTAATATCCTCCATCGCGATATTGAACATTTACATCCATACCTAATTTTAATTTTTTTTGAAATTTTAAAATCTTAATATCAATTGACTCTCTCTCTTTCTCTCTCTCTCTCTCTATATATATATATTATTCAACTGTCAAAGATATTTGGACCAACTTACGTGCACCTCAATTAATTCCTCTCACCCCGTCTAATCAAAAACAAGTCATCCACACTGAGATCAGGGTATTTACGAGGGATAAATCTCTCATAGTATGACCTGAAAGAGTTATCAAAATTTGAACTCAAAACATATAAATTTACAGTTCGTCTCTAGTACCACTTAAATTACCCTTGAATTTAAAACCAAATTTTAATCCTTCTTACCTCCTGACATAGACAAATTATTTTTTAAGGTGTAATTTTGGATTTCGATTCGTAGAATATGTACAATTAAATATTAATTGTTTTTTTTTGTCCATCCAATCAATTGTATTATATTTTATTGCATTAAATTTGAATACACTAATATCTGAATCGATTGTGATCCGATCTGAGTTATGGGTAAACATATAGAAGTGTATGATAAGATTACTTGATGATTTATTAAAATTGAGCTAAAATTCAAATATAATTTACTAAAATTCTGGTGGGATTTTCATTTTTTAAACGGGTTCAAAATACAAATGAGAATGGAAAATGTTGAATAATCGAATCAAATTCTTATGCTAAATTCCAAAAGAGACTACTGTTGTATTCAGTCATTGTTTGAACAATAAACTCCTATCCCCCACAAATGGACTATACAAATATGTTTTTATTAAGATAACCCTTTACTGGTGAAGATTATCTTTTGAGTATCTCAAATTTGTATGGTTGGATCATTGGATAAAAAAGTTAATGAGACTCACTCATTCAATAATTCTCATTTATTTAAGATGTAAATTTGGGTTACATATTATTGGGTTAGGTAACATTTAAACATTAGGCATGTTCAAATGAAGCGGGTTTATGTCAAGTCTTAACGAGTTCGTATTAAAAAATATTTTACTAATATTCGATTTATCAATTAATTTGATCCAATAAGTGTGTCATATCGGATTCATATCATATATTATTCGTGTATAATTGATATATAAACGAGTCATGTTGTGTATATTTCTTTTGAATGATTTCACACATACTTGATTTGTTTACGAAACAGGTGATTTAAAGAAGATTCAAACTTTCTAACTTCGTATCTTGTTCACGTTATATTAATGAATCGCGTCATATTTTAACACCCTTACTAAACATTAATCCTTTAAAAAACAAATCTTGTAGATATATCACATTAAACAATGAAATCAAAAAAATTCCTCTTGTCGTTTTCTTTGATTTGTACTCCACTGTTTGAACAATAAAAGAAAATCGCTCACTTCCTATTTTAAAAAAGGGTTAATAATATTTTGGGAGAATTACACTCAAACCCTTAAGGTTTGTCATTTAATCACTCAGACCCCGTGATATTTAAAATATTATACACAGACCCCTAAAGTTTGTACGCGCGTAACACTTAGACTCTTGTTGTAAATATATTCATTAATAAATTACACTTAGATTCTCCTAAAATTTGTGGGTATATAATACTTAAACCTTTTAACTTTAAAATATTATACTTAGACAAAAAAATACCCCAATTAAATATCAAATATCAAATATTTTAAATTTTACAACCAAAATTTATGTTCTATTTTATCATTTATTGAAATAAAATTAAAAATAAAAATTTAATTTTTCTTTAAAAAATTGTAATTAGTATACAATTATACTATCTATTGGAATAAAATTAAAAAATAAAACAATGGGTCTAAGTCATTCATAATAGAATATGAACATCTGAAATTCATGTTCTATTATGTAATTTATTGAAATAAAATCAAAAATAAAAATTTATTTTTTTTAAAAAAAAACATAGTTAGTATATATCTATATTGTCTATTAGAACAAAAATAAAAAATTAAATAAGGAATCAAACTATAATTGACACAATATCTTTTAGATTTAATTAAGGTAGTTTGATATTTTAATTTGGTCATTTAAAAGACTAAATTAAATTCTAATTGACAATACAATTGTATACTAATTACAAGGTTTTAAGAAAAAAATTGAATTTTTATTTTTAATTTTATTTCAATAAATGATGCAATAGAACATGAATTTTGGTTGTAAACATTAAAATATTTTATATTTTATATTTTATATTTGATTGGAATATTTTTTGTTTAAGCATAATATTTTAAACTTAAAAGGTCTAAGTATTATATACCCACAAACTCAGGGAACTAAGTGTTGTGCACGTACAAACCTCAGGGGTTTGTGTGTAATATTTCAAATGTCAGGAGGTCTGAGTGATTAAGTGACAAACTTTGGGAGGTCTGGGTATAATTCTTCTTAATATTTTTTGTCTCTAAAATATGTACATTTATTCAATTAAGTCCCTAAAATATTAATTTTATTAATTTAGTCCTTAAAATATTCAATTCGTGTTTAAATGATTCAAACATAGACATGTTGTCAAATTTTTGATAAAATAATCACATGTTTGACACATGATACCGTCTGAAGAATAACACGTGATCACTTTCGTTAAAAAACTTAACAAGACAGACATACTTTAAGGATTAAAAGTGTCATTAAAACCCTTTAAACTTATATTATCTATCAAAAAACATTTAAACCATTTGAAAATTATTTAGTATACTTTTGGGAGGGAGGGGGGGGGGGGTGGGGATGAAGAAATTTTTTCTATTGAAATCAGATTCGATGAGGCAATCTTCCCAAGATCAAAGAGTTTACCATATTTATAAATAATTCAATTGCAATTAATTACATCTTCGAACAATAATCAAATTAAGAAAACTGTATTTTTTTTTTTTTTTGTATTGTGGTCAATATCTTGGTGTTCTATTATTTATTCACACTACTACATATTCAATTGGTATGAATAAGCTTTGAATCTCTGACTTATTTCTTCGCCTAAGATGTTATATCAACATTTAACCAACTATGTTAAGGCGGTTATAAAATATGAATTTTTTCTTCGACTATAACAAAAAGTATTCATGAAATGTAATGATAATATGAAAATAGCAAGTTTTCGTGAACTGGTAAAAATATGCAGAATTTTATCAATGACATATAAGGAGGGGGGCAACGACGTTCAAACATGCAACCATTAAGTCTAACATCGGAGGCAATGGCCACTAGGCCAACTGCTGAATCCTCAAAAGAGGAGATAGGTTAAGATACCTTATATCTAAAACATAAAATATTGGAATATATCTTATTTCTGTGTCTGTCATCAGGGAAATTGATATAAGAAGCTTCATAGAACAAGCAAACAACAGAGGAGGAAAAAATGAGTGTCAGAATAAGGACATTGAACAACTATATGAAGCATGATGCATGCTATGTAAAAAATTAACACAGGTTAGGTCTTTGTTGTGAAGGAAGTAACTCCAAACCAAATAAACCAGGGATCTAAACTTGGCCCTGAACTCAACATGTGTGTGTGTGTGTGTGTGTGTGTGATATTCATATCCCAATCAGTTGTTAGTAGTGAGAATTGAACTTGTCACCTCATTTTTCGATAACAGAGAAGTGACAGAACATTTCCAACCATTTATTTTCCCCAGCTTTCAGTAATTACATTTCTCTCTATGTATGAGTGATAGACTAATTACAAAAACCAAAAAAATAAAAAAACTATCAATCTTTCTTATATAATTCGTCTACCTTAATTAGTTGCATTGGTGTTCCTTTAGAGAGTTATACTTGGTCCACAAAACGGCCTTAAAGTTTAGAAGTCAAGAAGTGCCTCAGTTCCTTTCTCAGAATCTTTCCGGGTGCAGACCTTGGTATCGAGTCTGTAAACACCACCTTTCTCACCTTCTTGTATGGCGCAACCTGCCAAAAAAAGGTGAAGATACAGACATCTCACAATCCTCAGCTCGGATACAATGTCAGTTTAACTAGAGCCATTCATTAAGCTTGAACTAACATACCTGCTTAGCTACATAGTCTATTATGGCTGCTTCAGAAACTGAACTTCCATGTCTCTTCACCACAAATGCAACTGGAACCTCCCCAGCTTCTTTATCACTAGCTCTACAAGATTAAAACCATGAATAAGAGATGAGTACTAAAAGGAATATTCTTGAAAATCGCACAAAATGCAGGACCATAGCTACCTAATCAAAGTTAAAAGCCTCAATGGTCTGCTATTTGGAGCATGTGTATTGAAACATGGGACACTCCTTCCAAAATGCTAAATCAAGAGATGCAAAAATATTTTACTCTTTTATACAAGATCAAATTTTGTTTTAGGTAAAGTTTTAATGCAATTGTCCTCTGCTATGGTAAAATGAAAGACATAGTATCATTTAATTTCAAAAGTGTGTTTACATGCTCCCAAAATTATTTAATTGCAAAAAGTGTCACCCTTACGCCGTTACTGCAGCATCAGTTATGTCTGGATGGGAACTCAAAACAGCCTCTAGATCAGCAGGAGCAATCTGCAAAATGGTGCACACCGTTAAAGATGATGTATTTATTTGAAACTTTTTCATTGATAATTCTTTCAATCATTTTACTTGAAATTTTTTTTCCAGAAATCCTTGCACAAAAATTAAAATTAGTTAATTATAATATCTCCAAAGAAGTTGAAACAAAAATCTGAAGATGAATTTACTAGTTCTACTGTTAATTGTGCAGACTGCAAAATGAAATTTGAGACTCCAAAGCAACGTTGAGCCAAAATGGGCTAAAAATATAGACGGTGATCATTATGTACCTGAAACCCCTTGTATTTGATGACATCTTTCAAGCGATCAAACACATACAAGTACCCTTCTTGATCAAAGTAAACAATGTCTCCAGTATGTAGCCAACCATCTATATCAATAGTCGAAATAGTTGCCTCCAAATTATTCAGGTATCCTACAAAGTCAAGTGAAATTTATGCGAATCTGTCTTATATTCAGGAAGGAAAAGATTCAATAGGAAAAAAAGAAAATAAAATTGTGAAGATGGTTTTACGTATTTTTCCCCTTCAGTAAAATTGTTTGGAGGACACATATCCCCCTATCAATAAGTATTTTCAGGGTTATAAACTGGTGAAATAATTTCCAGAACCATAAATGAAGGATAGAGCACCAAATCTAGTCACCAAATAAACATACATTGCAATGAAGAAAGTGCACTTTAAATTGTTTGCTGATGCAAAGAAAATCAAGTTACAATCTATGCATACTCAGAAATCAGAACTCAGGACCCAAGAGGTTTTACTTCAGCCAAACATGAGGTAAAGAAATATGGGTATCAAAGAAACTTAAACGATGCATGCATACTCAGAGAGCCCTGAAGATGGTGACATCTTGATCCACAACTTAAATATTAAAAGGAGAATATATATGATAGCATTTCCTCTATTGACAGCAATCTTGCAGAAATTAAGTACCTTTCATGACACCGGGTCCCCTTAACCAAAGCTCGCCCATGCTGCCGGGAGGCAAGAAGCAACCGGTAATCCAATCTACCACTTTAGCTTGCATGTTTGGAGCAAGAAGTCCAACTGAATTATAATTGTAAAGCTCTTCAGTATTGTAGCCACGAGTTCCCACTGCAGTAGACTCGGTCATGCCATAGCCCTGGCAACGTACAAGGTTTTTTCGATAATAAACACAAATTTTATTGATAACAAGAGATCATTACAAGAAAACAAAAACAAATGTGGACAAGCAGTCCAACACACAACAAATCAACAGTGAACATTCTACAAGGCACACGATTTTTTCCAACTTAACTTGATACAGAAGAGAGGAACGTCTTTAAACTCCTTAGCAACAGACAAGGTTTGTGACAAGAAAACTTCCAAAAATTACTTAAAAAAAGATGATAGTGTTGCCTAGTTGGTCCTGAAAAACACATAACTGAATTTTACAAAATCTATTGTTTGCCACAAGGATAGTATGTTTGTCATGGTTCACTAGGTTTACAAGCAAAAAACCAAAACAAAATATAAACAAAAAGTGGAATCATTCACTTTCCTTTGTTTGGAATTTCGTACGTATGCTAATAGAAAAAATAAGAGTAGAAAACTCTATTTCAACAGTTAGTTCTCCGTATTGGGGAGGAATTGGGCAGTGTAATCAGCCGAATTCATATGCTTGTTTGACCAAATGTAAAGTTTCAGTATCTCATCAGCTTTTAATTGGATATTCACAGCAAGAAGAGAAGCCCTTCAAACTAAAATGAATCAATTAAACAGTCTAATCATTGGAACACACTACTTGGTTTTACATAATCTTCAAATTGTTACCTACAAGCATGCAATTCAGTACCTGAATGAAATCAACATGAGGGAGACCCTGAATGAACTCTTCTATGTTTTTTGTGCTCGAAGGAGCCGCCCCACATGAAACCTGTTTCAAACTCTTCAGACTGCTTCCTGATACACCTTTTGCTTTTCTTGTCAATGTCATCAACGTTGGTGGGACTACGGGAAAGTGGGTGACTCTGTATGTATCAATTGATCTTACCATCTCATCAGCATCAAACTTTTTCATAACAATGACTGTAGTGCCCAATGACAACAATCCCATCACAAAGAGGGAAACGCCGTAAATATGGAACATTGGTACAACAGCCAGGTACACATTCTTAGTATTCAAATAATCATATTGGGAAGCTTCAAACCGGACAAAAAGCTCAATCATGGCTATAAAATTCCTGTGTGTCAAGACAACACCTTTGCAAGAACCAGTAGTGCCCGATGAATACAGTACTGCTGCGGTGTCCTGCTGATTAATTTTAGGGCTTGGAGCCAAACTGGGGCTACCCGAGAGAAGCTTATAAAAGGCAGAAATATTATCAAGTTTTGAATGAGAATCCACATTTGCTGGTACACCAATTACACGAATACCCAATGAACTTAATTTATCAACATTATCGTGGGTGGTAAAGGCTAGAGTTACATTGGAATCAAGTATTTGTTTTCTTATCTCTGGGAGACTACTGAGAGGATTCATGGGAGTTACAATTGCACCCATAAACAAAACGCCCATAAAAATAATAGGAAAGTAAATAGAATTTGGCAATAGAATCAAAACAACATCACCTTGTGAAACTCCCATTTGATGAAGACCACTGGCCATGGATTGCACTAAAGGGTAGAGTTCAGAGTAAGATATTGAAGACCCAGATGAAGAATCAATGAAAGCTGAGACACCGTTGTGCTTATGTGAGAAAATGAAGGAAACAACATCAAGAAAAGGGTCTGATGGTAGGTCTATGGAAGGATGTTTGCTGTAGTATATTCCTGTTTCAGAAGAGTACCATTCACAGCGGCATTTCTGCATATGGCTGTCTTGCTCTTCTGAAGCCTGGCAGTTCGTATGGGTTTTCAATAATGTTGCCATTGATTCACCTCGGAGAGAGCGAGAGAGAAAGAGAGTGAGCGAGAGACTTACAGCAGAAGGGAAGAGTCTGCCTGTATTATGTTTGGGATTCGGTTGCATTGAGATTCAGGAAGCATATAAAGAAACGGTGGCTTGGCATTGAAATTTCCATGCTCAAAAGGCTACTGACCAGGAAAAATAAACAATAATTAACCGTATTACAGTATCGTTTTCTGGGTCCTCCATGGCCCCAAATCCAAGCATGCCGCTCCTGGTGGCGCAGCCGGCAAGAGGGTCCCCCGTGGGGCCCACTACCGATCAAGGGCATCTGTTCTTTAGCATTTGGAAAGAAACGATTGGATTGGAGCTACCTCAGGACCTAGTCTTTCTTCCTTTGGTCCAAATTTCGATTCGTTTATGTGTCCATACTCGAATTTGACTTATTTTAAATTTTTGGCTCGTATTTTTTTCGAAAAATTTAAGATTTTGATCTGAAATGGAATTTTATCATTGAATATTAATTGTTTTTTTTTTGTTATGGATTATTTGATTTTGAGTTGTGCTTTGTTTTATTATACTTTAATGAATCAGATTTAGATTTAATAATAACCAAATAAATCATGACCGGATCCAAATAAGATATACATAGTATAAAAACGTACACTGAGATCAAATGATCATTTGCTAAAATTTATTGGAATTCAAATCTAATTGAGTTTTTAGATTCGATTGGAATTTTTGTTTTTTTAACAAGTAGAAATATGAATAAATGAAATTTATCTGATATTCGGATTGAATTTTCGTTTATCCAGAATTTTCAGTTTAAAAAATAACTTCTGTTTTTTGTTTAGTTTAATAATTAGGGGTGTTCGAGCCACAATTTTTTGTTTAGCTGTATGAGAAAAATACTTCAATTAAAACTAATAGGCACCATCACAAACATTTTAGCCATTTCAAAAGTGACTTTATTCTTCCCGAGAGAAAAATGAAAACATTTTTTAAGAATTTTAAAATATAGCACAACTCGTTAACATAACACGAAAACGATATAAAATTAGAAAGCTGAAATCTTTCTTAAGCATATCATTTCGTAAATAAGTGGACTTGACTACACAATTAATAAATGAATTGGTATGAGTAAAATCAATAAAAAAAAAATACACAACACTACTGTTTTATAGACCGGCTATACATCATTCATACACGACACTACTATTTTATAGACCGGCTATACACCATTTATACACCACACAAACCAAATATGATATGACTCGTTAGACATGAATTAATAAACAAATCGAATATGAATGAAGTATTTTTTTTTTTTACATGAACCCGTCAACGCAAACCCACCTCACCCAACACATTGGACATGCCTAATTTTTTTTTTTTTTATTGAAGTCAAATTCCATGTTGCAATCTCCACAGGTCCAAAGGGTTTACCATTATTTAAAAATAATTCAATTGCATTTTGAATGTGTTGTCAGATTAAAAAAGCAATTTCTATTTTGGTAACAGGTCCATAGTACTACAATCCAGGTCTAGTTGTGCGAGTTAATTGACACTAGTACATATTCAATTGCTGCAAATGAGTTCTGAATCTCTAATTTAATCAACTATGGTGGTACAGAGGTTTAAAAATGCAATTTTTCCTTCTGCCAAAGCAAAAAGTGTTTATGATATGTAGCAATAATATCAAAATAGCAAGTTCTCATGAACTGGTTGAAATGTGCAGGATTCTGTAATTCAATGACATATCAATAATATCTTTGGCCATGACAATTTTTTTTCAGTCCGCTTAGGTAATAAAATGGCAAACTATCCAAAGAGCGCGCGGTTGGAACGATTGCTAGACTCATCGCCATAAAAAAATTGTTCCGAGGCCCGGGGACCAAAACAAGTAATAGGTTGAATTCTGGCTGCTGGTAAACAGTCCATGTAAGCTAGCCATGCCAATATATTGACATTTGAAGAACATTGGAATGTTTCTAGTTTCAAACACAATATAGGAAACTTAATAGAACAAGGAAACAACGGCGAAATGCTGACATATCCTATGGTTAATATTCAACAACTCGATGAAGCATGATGCAGGTATATAGTTGATTTTCCAGAAAAGCTCCTATCCCACTTGCATCTTCAACTAAAAGGAGGAAACAGTAATTACAATTCAAACGAGCGTGTGACATGGTTAGACAATGATAAGCTATTTGACAAATTAAACGCTGATTAGGTCTTCGTGTTATGGAAGCAACTCAATACCAAGTAAATCAAGGATCAACATCAGTGATGATGGACATGGTGGGGTGACTCGATGTCATACTGATACACAATGCTGGAGGAATCAACTTCATCGTGAGATAAATTACTCGGTGGTCCAACTTCTTGCTGATGGACATTATGAGATGGTTCATCTTCATGATGATTGGCATAATGGGGTTGGGATGGGGGAGTGAGTTCATTTGCTGACGGACTAGGGATGTGAATTTGGTTTTTATCAACTTTGACTTCAACTAAATCTACTTCTTCGAAAGAGTGGAAAATCGGGTGCAAGTATGCATCAGCCAAGGAAGATTTTAGATTGATGCCAGGTTCGGCAGCATGATCCTGTTGGTCCTTTGCCATGGCTTCCTGAAGATGAGTACAAAAGAACAAAGATATCAATCTCCCTTCAAATAAAAAAGGCACCCCTTGTAAACAATTAACAAACCAAAATATTAAAAAAAACAAACAAACAGAATGGATCAAGTCACATAATATTTTTTTTCTTTTCATTTTCTAGTGCCATGCAAGCATAATATTTTACAGGAAATCTGCAAACAAAAAAATCAGGGCTGGAAGCTGGTTTATTGCACATTAGCTTTTCTGGTAATCTAAAAACCTGTATCTTATATATAAAAAAGCGAAAAAAAAATTCTCAAACAAAAAATTCACATTATCTATAGTCAAGCCTTGAGACAGGTTAGCCTAATTAGGAATTGAATTGTGTTTCATAGAGCTTTTACAGACTATAAAAGTGATGCAATCACCATGATGACCAATATAAGAAAAGGGTGTCACTCCACTTAAAAATGGCAAAGCATAAACTCCACAGACCAATTTTGTCTTTAGCCTTTACCTGTTTAGATCTAGACACAAACAAATTTCTTATGACCTTCAACATTGCCAAAAGGTCATTATAGAGTTTGGTCCCCATAAATAAGGGGTGCTGGGAAGGGCGAACTGACTACCTATCTGACCAAGGCTTCAATTAAAACCCATAACTATGATGGATTGAATTTTTACCATCCCCCAATGTTTAACATTGCCATCACCAATTCCTTCTTGAAGAACATTATTTCATATCATAGACGAGTAATCACATAAAAATAAAATCTTACAATGACTAAGTTGAACAGTGTCTCTTTTAAAGAGTAGACTTGACACATAATTGGCCATGGGTAAATACAAGGAAAAACGATTATGTGGTCGTTGCGATGTGGAGAAAAAGTGGCTATTTGACCATTCTAAATATTCCTTGAAAGATATGCTTCAAGTAAATGCTAAGACGTGATATGTCCTGTCCAACCAACCCCCCCCCCAAAAAAAAAAATAATAATAATAATAATAAAAAAAGAAAAAGAAAAAAGCAGTAACAGGTGGGTAGAAACTGGGAGTTCATCAAAGATCAATTTTTCAGCAATTATGTTCATTGCTTGTGTGCTAGGAAGCGGAGAGGTGTCGTGACAGGGTTAGATATGGCCGGACACTTGTCTGACACGGCTAGGAGTATCCTGAATAGTGAACCCAATCGAACAGCTAGGACACAACCAGGATACGGCGAGGAATTTAAAAAAAAAAAATAAATAACTGTTGACTATTAAAAGAGGGGTCATTTCTATTTTTGTTAATATATTTTTTTGTTATATAACTTATATACTATGAATGTCTATGGATGTAATGATATTTGATGAAAATTATAAATATTTATTTTGATCTATTTCCATTTTAATCAAAAAATTAATAATTGTTAGGTCTTATTATTAATATTGTTATAATATATGCTTTATTTTTAATATTACAACTCTTATTATTTAAAAAAATATATTATATTATTTTAATAGCCGTATCATTTCCATACTCGTGTCATATATTTTTTAACTTTATCATATCCCCATATCCGTATCGTATCAAATATGACACCCGTGTCCGTATCCGTGTTTCCTAGCTTGTGTGCATTAAGTGGTGATGATAAACTATGCAAGCATCCAGTGACAGACATGATGAAAAGGGCTTTCATTCACATTCAAATAGATAGAAGAAACCATGGAATACATAACTTTTCCCTAATCGTCAAAATATAGTGATTAAACTAACATTACTCGCTGAACTTGTTTAAATCCATACCTCAAGGGGGTACTTTCTAAATGCAGGTTCAAAGCGGTTCTTGCAGTACTTGTGGAAGGTTAAAGTCAAGACAGGTAACACAACAAGCAATGGAGTAGAATTTGCAGCTTTTTTCGTGCTCAGCAGACCAAACAAAAGAAGTTGAGATAACACCACACTTGCTATTATGCGACCATGAACATGTGGCCAGAAGGCAGCAGCGCTCTCATATCGTTGATTGTAAACATTAATTATCTGTGTGATCAAGCAAAATAGAAAAACCCAATGTAAAACTAAGAAACAGATTAGAATCTAATGCATAATCTGACTCTATCTATCTATAAAAGGAAGTATAGATTGATCCTAAAAATGTCCACACTGATGTCAACTACATGGTCCAATATGACAGCACACTTGCATTTGTTGAAGTGGATGTGAATTGTGGAGAAATAACATACAGCATACCTTAACATGATTTTATCTGGTATAACAAGAAACTTACACATTAATTGTGAATGGAGGGAATGCGAATGGTAAAAAGAGCTTATATCCCGCATATGGCAACCAAAGTTTTTTATATAGTTGACAAGGCTCTCTAATCATTGTCAATTGGTTTTGATTTAGATGCTCTATGGGTGGTTAGTTGTCAAGACTTTCTTACCCACCTAAATTTCTAAATATGCATGTTTGTTTGTTTACACCACATACAAGGCCGGGACAAGAGTTTATATCCCACATCGAAACATAAGGGTCACCCAAGTTGGTTTATAATTTTATATAGTTCTTGGGTCTCTCTACTCATTAACAACTGGTTTTGAGATGGATGCTCGACCAAAACTGATAACTAATTGTTTGTGGAATTCAAGCATTATTTGAAACAGTCCAAAACTTATATGCATGCCTATTTCCCCAATCCATTCCTTTATTCCATCCAAATTCAATTGGGACATTTTCTGAGTCATCCATCCATCAGAGACCAGCAGGGCGTCTGAAATCATCTAAATCATTCATAAAATCAATGATTTCCAGAAACCCAATATCAAACTGCATTTTTGTTATTGACTACAGCTCCTCTAAAATGTGATTATCCTCGGTATTAGTGTGTCATTTGCAACACAAGGCTTTATCCCTGATGTGCAAACTCAAAGTCAATGAGCAACTTTAAATCACATCCCAAAAGAAACCAAAAGTCCAATTCCATGAGAAACGAACCTGATGACGGTAGACAAAGTAAGCAAAGGCAAAGAAGACTAGTATAAAAGGAAGAAGGATTGGAGTAACCACGGCATACACAAGACCCAAAAGGAAGTACAGTTGAAGACTTGGGAGAGATTCTGGAAGGTCCACACTTCCAGGATTCATTGCCTTTTCTCTGTCCCTATCAGTTTTCACAAGGAACATGTTCTTAAGGTGAAAAATGACCAAAGGCTTCAATCGAAGAATTTCACCAGCCATTCCAGCCCACCCATCAACCATTATAAATGTAATAAAGAATGTAGCCTTCATTGGGATTGATACCCCAATGGTTCTTGGAATCCTGCAACAGAAAGAATATTTGCTGAGATTAATTATCATTTAGCAAAACAAACAGAAAAACCAACTGAAGTTAAAACGAGCAACCATTTTTTTTATGCCCAAATTCATAATCTGATGCTCCACTCCTTTTATCGTGGAAAACAGAATATATGACCTCTCTGGCTTTCTCATCCTTCTGTCTTATGGGGGAACATGTCAGTTTTTGCTGTAATAAATTATACCAGAGAGCTACGCTACAAAACTGAGAACAGGAAACATTTAAAGTTACAAGGCATCAACTTCCAGCCATATCGTAACCTTTAACTTCCATACGATGAAGTGATGTCTCCACAGAATATAAATAACTGAGAAGGAATTGAATATGAACATTGTTCACCTGTACAGTGATAAGTACAGCACACTGGACCATAGTGAAGCACTAAAACCAAATGCGAATATTTGAATTCAATTAAGAATCAAAGTTTAGCAAGTGCTAACGTTGATTAAAACAACAACGCATCCAAGCAATAGTTGATTAGCCAGACATCGTCATTCCTCTGTAAGGAAACTATGTACTTAGTGCCAGTATCATGTATGCTGTCACAACAACAAAGTAAACATATCTAGAAATAAAAATCAGCTCACAAAAAAATGATTTTCAATTAAGGGCATCTTCATGGGCCTTTCAGGAATTAAAGTAACAAATCCATCATCACCTGAATAAAACAATAAGACCTCATAGTATATACTTTTAGTATGAATTTCAAGAACATTGCTTGGAGATAGGGAATATTACTGTGTAGGTGATTGGTGAAGGAAAGCATCAAGTTGCTCAAAAGCTGTTCCAGTCACTATGCTCCCCAAGAAAACATTCACCAGCATAAAGTAGTAGTATTTTGCTGCTGTTCTCCGTTCTATTACTGATAATGCTGCATATCCCTCAAGTTTTGACATAATCATTAAAATTTTCGGAAGAATGAACAAGAAGATTTTGAGAGTTAGTCCAGGAAGGAAACCCTGTACGAAAGACTTGATGAATTTCCTGCATGACATTGTCAGACCTCTTTGTTGTAAAATGGACATAGGTTTAGAAAGTAGTATATAGATTGTGCAGGCATTCTATTTGAGAATCAAGCAACCATAACTATCAAGAGAGATGCAGAGAAGGCATGGTACATCATGAAATAACAAAGGAGTTCATCAGTTTGATTGCAAGGTCATAACCTGATTATGGAATCATCCACAGACATGGTAGAGACACTTAAATTCTCAACCTAAAATCAACAAAATATTTGAACACATAAAACACCAACAGAAAATACATAGATTGCATTGGAGAAATGTCTAAAAGAAAACCCATGCATGTTCACTTTCATAGTAAATTTAACAAGCCCCAAGATCAGAAGAAGTTATCTGCAAATTTAAGTATTGCTTTCATACAATCTTTCTTTTAAACAAAACACATGTTGAACAAGCAATTTTTGATTCTTCATTCACTTCACTATGTTTTCTCAAAAACCAATTTCCTGCATAAGACTTCCAATAACTCAAACGAGGCATGGAAGCAAAGATCAACTAACCACAGACATATTATAGTTGATCCTTCCTCTCGGCTCTCTTCTGGTGCAATTGCCAATTTTATTACTGGGATAGTTAGTTTTTGCCTCCCTATGGTTTGACCCAAATTAAATTTACATTCACCATTTTTGGCGTTCATCACCTCACACCCACCCCCCCCCCAAAAAAAAAAAAAAAAAAAACCCCAAATCTTTGAACTCACTAGAAACAAAACCAAAGACCATAAATTTATTTTTATTTTTATTATTATTATTATTTTTTTTTGGGGGGGGGGGAGGGGAGAAAAACTTGAACCCTTCATCTCAAAAAGACAAAGCTAAATTGTTTGTCGATAGAGGAATAGCATGGGAATTCAACTCTTGCTTGACACTAGGAGATAGTATGAGTTCACCTGTTACGAACCAATTTAACAACGAGTAATTCATTTATAAAATGCTAACTTCATTACAGGGAATTAAACAAAAACATTTCAATGCAAGTGAAAAACAGAGTGGAACTAAAGTTTCAACCCACTTCTATTTTCATTAATAAAGCATCACACTGTGCATGTACTGCTCAATGGATTTGATTCTCCACCTCATAAAGGTCGCCAACACTTGCCGACTTTCTGATTTGGATCTCTTGATGAATAGGTATTTGACCAAAAACAGGAGTTGTGCATATTGAATTGGGTTCATCCTTGATGAGTTAGTTTCAGTTGGGTTTGGACTTTAACCTTTTGTAATGAGTGCAGAGATGGGGCAAAAGGTTTTGGTCTTGGTTTGATCTTCAAGTTTATCTTCGGGAGGCAGAAGGGTGGCGGGCGGTGTTGGATTAATTGGAAGTGGAGATCTTGCTAGGGATGGCAGTGACGATGTGGGCATTTAATCATTAAAAATGCATATTGTGGCGGGAACAAAGGGAAACACTATCCACACCATATCTCTGGCAACTGCAGAACACCTTCCATCAAATAGGATGATAAAACTAACTGTAAAACTTTGGTCCAAAATCATAGGAAGGTGAATGTAATTGTAAATGTCAAGTAAAATGATATTGAGCCACACCACAGGGAAGTAAAAAGTAGTTATCCCTTCATTATTCCAAGCGGGCCAAGAGAGTACAAAGTTTACTCACGGATTGGGGTACATTATTTGAGGAACTAAAAGCATATATGGAGATATTTACCAAGCCACTCACATCAGTAAATGGTAAACTATATCAGATCTACCTTGGAAACATGGTTCAAGGTCGCAGTATCGGCCCTTGACTCGGGAGCCACTGAGACACATCAATCGCTGTGTCCCAGTGCGGTATCGGCCGATAAGCTTAAAACGCTATATAGGAAGCTCAAAAAAATTAGGAAAAATTGTAATAAATTTAAACATCATCATGCATGCATCATATCTGCAAAAGACATTATTTAACACATTAATCATTACAAAAAAGAAAAATAAGGGCGCTACCGAAAAAAATTTGTCATCATCTATGTTCAATATTAATATAATTTAACTTGTAATTTTTAAAAAATATAAAAATATAGAAGTGTGTATATATATGGTTAACTTAATAGCTTTAAAAATAAAAATTTACTTATAAAGAAATTCTTCATTTGATTATTTAATGTGTATCTAACTAGAAATTATATGTATTTTTTTCATTATATACATTTAATTATTAAATATTCCATGACATATACAAAAGCAAACTTAATAAGTTAAGTTCTAATTATATTATATGGTAAATACTAAAAATTACATAATTAAAAAAACTGGACCAAAACGGTTTGAATTGTGGGACTATTGGGAACCAAAAGAGAAAAGAAGAAAAAAAAGGAGGCAAATAAATTTTTGGGTCTCATTCCTCAAAAAGGCCAAAGCTTCACATATTCTGAGCCAAAAAAAAAAGACTACTAGACTCTTAGACATCGACGAATGGAGAACATACGAGAGAGAGACAGAGACGATGGGGCTCTAGGAATCGATGATGCTCGTTGAAGGCTCGCAGGGAGGGATCTGAGTCTTAGACTTATCTGCAATGCTAGGATTTCTACAATGATGAAGAAGATGAAAGAGGGGGCTTTTGCAATGATGCTAGGGCTTTTTTTGTCTTTGATTTTAACAAGGTATGTCTTGCAATTATTTCAATTTTTCTTCTGTTTCTGTAGTTGCAAAAAGGGGTGTATTTGCTTGTGATTTTTTTTGACTTAGGGTTTGAAAAATGCTTATTTGGGTCTCAGATCTTCTTCTCAATTTTCTTTTTTCCTTTGCCATTTTGACTTTGGAGATTTTGCTTCAATTTATACAAGAATAGGTCTGAGTCCGATGTAACTCACCCGATTCAAACGATATGAGTCCGAGTCAAGCCGATACTATCGAGTTGTAACTATTTCATTGCCGAGTCATTGGTGACTCTTGATATTTATGTATCGTGTATCGATATTGGATCGGTCATGACCAAGATGGATACGACTCGGCCGAGTCGTATCAGTCTCAACCGATACTTTGAACCGTGCTTGAAAAATATAACAACTATGCTCCATATGTGGACATATACTCTACTTGTACTTTTTCATTTTTTTGGGTAGAAGAGGGAAGGGGATGCAAGGAGCATTCACTAGTTATTCATAATAGAGTTCTTATTTTATATTATTAGTAGTGTAGGGTAAAAATGATATTATCCATAATATTAGTTTATTATAAATAAGAGAATGTAAGTTAACATAGCATATACACAGATTTCTTTCTTTTATGCGTTATCTTCTCTCTCTTCCTCCTTTCATTAATCCCTAATAACAATTTCATATTTTCGACTTGTTAAACAACCATCTACTCCAAAAGCTTAAACTGTTAAAAATTGTGCAACTTATGTATTTATTTTTCAATAAACTCTCTCAGGTTAAATTTTGGGCCTATCACATGAAAATTTTTAATAATTAAGGTGACGGCGAAATTCAAACACAAGACTTCTTGGTGTGTTACCATTTTAGATTATCCAAACCAAAATCAATTGGCTATGAGTGGAGCGGCTCCTCATCCTAATTAATCGATGTGGGATACAAGCTCTCTTTAACACCCTCCCTCACTCGATACTCAGGCCCGCACATGTGGTTAACAAAGAAACAAACAATCATGTATACAAGGCTAAAAAACACAGATACGGACACGGGTGTCGTATTCGATACGATACAGACAATGGAAAAAGATAAAATCCCAAAATATAAGACACGGGTACGGCTAATTAAAATAATAAAATATTTTTTTATATATATAATATTGAGTAATTATTAATATTTTATAATTGGACAAATGAATTAATATTAAATTTAATTAATGGGCTAAATGTTATGGACAATGGGCAGTGGGCTAAACTAATAAGATGTCATTGATTTAACATTAAATATAAGAGTCTAGTTCGGTGGACACCACACCTCCACAACGAACTTAGAGAGAGAGCCGTGACTAATAAAAAAATAAGATAGAAAAGGAAAGTCAACTCAACGAGAGAGAGATCGCTAATCAGCCTGCTCAGATCACAATGAAAGAGATCTTAGATCGCAGCAAGAGCGTCCAGATTACACAGATCCAGGTAAAATAAAGAAGAACAAAAAGAGGAAGAGTTCTTTAACATGCCTGGCCAAGCTAATTTTTGTTTTCTTTTTGATTTTCTGTTCATGACACTTGTGGAAGTATCGGACATGTGTCCGACACTGGCACGTCGACCCCCACCGGAGTATTCATGCTTCCTAGATACTAGAAAATTCAAAGGGGTAAGAGAATTGATCCACTGACCACTCAAGGCCCAGCTCTGATACCATATTAGACAACTATTTACTCCAAAATCTTAAGCTGTTAGAGATAGTGAAATTTAAGTATCTATACGTCAACACAACTATTCATAATATTGAGTCTACCACTCCTAGATTGCTTTGGTCCCTCAAGATTCACGAGCAAGAAAAGGGATCTTCAGTTAAAGAGTTCAAAGAAGTTTCCCTTCTTGCATTCCCAATCAAACAACCTTATGCAATAGTGCCACTACCTCGTAAACCAAAAATGAAAAAAAAAAAAAAAGAAAGAAACAAAAAGAACACCACAAACAAAGTTTCTCACCATAACAGTGTATATAGTAAAAGAAAACAAGTTATCAATTTGCCAGAATCCACAGGAATGTGTATCATGCATGTTAAAACATATGATCATGTATACAAGAAATCCTATGAAAAGAGAAGTTCACTTCACTAACTTTTAAGATATGTGCAGAGGACAAATAGGTGAATCATAACTGAAGTCACCGCAAGAAATAAGTAGAGGCAACAATTTCATGAGCACACACCAAGAATTAAAGCAAGTAGGTGACGACAAGTATTATGTAGTGTCCCAAAGACACAGGAATTAAAGTACCATGTGATTTATTACCAAATAAATAAACTTTTGTTGCTCCCGAAAAAAATAACAAATGTGTACATGCAATCCAATTGATGATTCATTTCACACCAAGCAGTAAATCAAATCGACTTATAATACCATTCTGAATTGTAGCGAATGAAAGTTTACTTACACTTCAATCAATGGCCTGAGGAAAGGAGCAACTTTTTCAAGACCATCCAGATTTGCAAGTGATTGCACGAAAGCAATGGGTATCATGTAAAAGAATACCAATGCAAACACCAATACTGAAATCACAAGCTTCCGAATGCTAAGAGAAACAAATGGTATAGCCAGATTCTTCCAATATACATCCCGGGGCTCAGGTGCCCAATTTGTTAGCCACATTGTTGGATTCTTGCTTTGCTGTGTTTGTGCACAAACGGCAGCCCCCCATCGTGAATTAAATGATACAAAGGCAGCTGACATAATAGATTTTGGATCCTTGAGAATTCGCTGGCGCTCCGTTGTCAACTAATGAGTAATACAAGGATGAATAGTAGTTAGCTAAAGAAACTCAAAAAGAACAAATCGAATGAATATATACAGCAGCCACAAAAAATTAGCTAACTAATGATCAAATAATAGATGATGGTATTAAAGATAACTTAGAGTAAGCAGCTGCCACAACTCACTTTTTTATCGAGCTCCTTAATATGTTGTTTGTAGAAGTCAATAGAATCAACTCTTTCACCCCAAAGACCAAGGAACCCTTTCTGAACATGGGGAAAAATACAAAGGCAACTTTATGGAATGTCCAAGTGTATGTGTCATAACTATATCTTGTTTGTATGATTTCAGTGCATAAAAAAAGCTACCTTTTTAGTTGGCCTTTGGTCTGGATGTCTTTCAAACTTGAGCTGGTTGTAGTCCAGCCAATTTTGGAGCTTCTCTCTTTTCCTAACAAGTTGGGCAAACTTGTTTGCATTGTAGACCGCCTCAATAAAGACAAAAAAAAAAAAGAGATAAAAATCATAATGCAGAGTAGAACCCTACTAGGCACAGCGGATACCAACAGGTACACCTTGTGTGAGGAGTTAGCCAAAATTATCTAATTTAAACACTGGCAACTGCTGTCATGGCATCTTTTAAGGAGGGATGTGTCAGGTTTGATTCTTGCTGATATCAATAAGACAAATGGAAAGAAAAGGAACAACTCCCTGGTAAAGAAAATTCCCTAGAAAAGTCATATTACCTGGTTACAAAGGTAGTGATCTGGGTGGTTTGTTTGAAAGAATTGCTCGACACTATCTGATATTGAGCGCCCTGAAACATGTGGCACATTCCTGACTAGTACCTGCATAAATATAAATGCAAAAGCTTATGATACACAAGAACTTGAAAAGTTTTCTAAAGTAGGACATACAAATAGAACCTTTAATATAGCACGTAATCCCGGTTTGAAAAGAAAATTTCCCATGATGAAGTCTCCACATAACAAATGATAGAATAATTGGGAAGAAAAAAATGTTCATATGTATTGTATTTCTTTTTTCAACTATCCCTATGAGATACTGGATCTCAAAGTAAAGAAGACTGATTTCTTAGAGCTGGAGGACACAGCAAATTAAGAACAATGTGCCTTGGAACATGCTTCCATTGGGAGATCTCAAATAAAATATGTAAGAAACAAGGTGGAGCCATAATATTTTTATAGTGGGGGCAAAAATCATAATGAAAATCAATCAACGAAGATAATTTATTTTAAAATATAATTTATTCTGGTCAAATTTTAAATATCAAAATTTAATTTACAAGAAAGCAAAAATTAAGAATTCAATTATTAAGAGAACATTGACCAAGAGAAAATTAAAGAGAACAGTCAAATAAATGATAATCATCAAACTCGTCACGATTTCACAAATAGATTTTCAATGATAATAATCGATAGATAAAAGAGACGACACTGAATTGCATGAAAAAAGCATAAGCCTAAAATTTTAATTCATGAAAGAATCCATTTTTTTAAACAAGGAATAGTTCTATTGGAGTCTAAAAATCTATCTTAAATTTTTGACCTAATGATGCAACAGTAAAAAAGTTAAAATAGTATTATTCTAATTAAAACTTTTGGATTATTTTTTGAGACCACAACCCTTAGTACATTATTAGTTCTGTAAATTGGTTTAGATTTTTAGACCTAAAAGTATTATTGAAATATAGAAATAGCCATAAATTTATAAATTTTTAGTGGAGACAAAACTTTAAAAAATTATAAATACATAAATATTTCAAAACTACCCAAAAAAAATTTAAAATTGCACTAGGGGCAGTTGCCCCCACTGCCCCTAGTGTAAATCTGCCAATGGAATGTGGATGCAAAAAGAGTCGGTTTTGAGTGGGAAGCATTAGAACCAAAGTAAAAAAAAACAGAGAATAAATGATGAGAGGTTAAGAATTGATTAGGGTTCCCTCCTAGGATTCTTATACTTTAAAAAGTGAAAAGCAAGAACTTATTGGAACCAAAAAACAACATCAATTTCCTATAATAACCAAAATATGACCAAATTCCTGACACCTAACCAACCCCCCCCCCCCCCAAGTGTACCTCAACTAGTGTCAAAGTAGTTGGCACCCAAATCTTCCCATATTAAAACATCTGCAAGTTGATCTCCGATTTTCAAATAAAGAGTAAAATTCAGCCCAACGTCTTACTTGTCCTTTATGAAATGGCTGGTTAACTCCAATGTGATTTGTCCTATAACGTTGAACTGGATTATGAGCTAATTAATGGCTCCATGTAACCGCATCAGTTCTCCTAAGAAAAAACCAATCTTAACCAATTAAATCCTTAGCATTAGCATAAGGAGCCCACAAAACTCCATGGACCATACCCATGCCTCTTTCGCACTAAACCTAGCAGCAGCCAATATTGCTTCTTACTCTGTGATGTTGCCCAAAACCCTCCAAGGAAGATGCAATTTCTAGAATTGAACCTTCAGTCAATTGTGGAACTTGGCATCTCCTTTCATGTACCCTTGTTTCTTAACACAAACTTTTTCTAACGATATTTTCAAGTTTCTGAGTATCTTGTAGGCTCCTTCCACATGCATTTGCTTTGATGCTGTTGGAGATATAGCAGCAGCCTAGTTTATTAGGGTTTTATTAAGTTTTTCTTTTTTACCTTTTTGTCCTCATGGTAACTCTCATTGACTATATATACGGGGCTCTACACTTAGTTTGTATCTCTTTTCACTCACAACTATTTCAAGTTGGTATCAGAGTCAAACTCAAACCCTAACCCTAACCCTAACCTCCACCATACTCAGCGGCCACCATACTCACCATACCGACTGCTCAGACCAGCAACCCACCGACAAAAACCACCCTGGCCAGCACCTAACCAAACCAGCAAATTCACCGACTACCTTGACCAACTGCCCAGACCAACTGAACAGTATCCATACCACCCAGTCGAACAATACCCACCTGCATACCACCCAGTCGAAACCACCAAGCACTCCACCAAACCAGCGAACAATACACCCATCCTCCACTGACAGCCATCCTTTGTCGACCGACATACTCAAACCAACCCAATACTTTGCACCATCAAACCAACAGCCTACACCGACAAACTGCCAACACCACACAGACCACTGCCCATCACCGACAAACTGCCAACACCGAAACAGCACAGCCACAATCCAGCGAATAGCCACAGTCCACCGTCAGCAGCACAGTCAACCCAATATCATCAGCAACCAAAACTAGCCACTGCCCATCAACTAAACCAACTCCATAAAAAATATACCAACGACAGACCTAGCCCATTAAACATATATCAAACCAGCCCACTAACCCAGCCACCTAGCCTATTGCTGGGTCACTCATCAGCTCACTGTCGGGTCGCATTTTTTTTCGTTGTAACTTCGTCGTTCGTACTATTTGTCCGCACTCTTCGTCATAGTGCTGCCAGATTACAGTATCTAGGACCGTTTTAAAGAGGGGATGAATCCTCTTATCCGATGATCTACCCTTGATGCAGTAGATCACTTATTTATATATTTTGGATTTCTGGGCACCGTGCCCTGATTATTTGAGAACTTTTTGGACCTTCTTTATTTGTCGCTACTGTTCGACTGAAGGTATATTGTTCTCCCTTATTTTATTCTTCTATTTATCTTAAATTTATTTTTCTGTCACGGATGCCCTAGTATTGTTGTTGATATGACTACTACTGAGGGACTTGAGAACCCTACTGTTGACACCTCTACCGTTGAGACATCTATGGGTACTTCCACTTTTATGTTTGACCAGTATACAGTACCTACTAGCACAGTTGCATTACTAGCACTACCGGGCATGATCTCTCAAAAAGTTAGAGCACAGTTGTTGAATGGTCGTAACTTTGCTGAGTGGTCTCGCTCATTCCAGCTTTTCTTAGGCCGTGTAGGGAAGCTTGGTTGGCTGACGGGATCTCACCCAAAGCCAGCTGATGCCGACCCTGGATATTCTGCGTGGTTCTCTGAGAACTGCGGCATTCTTGGATGGTTATTTGGCTCGATGGAGCCATCTGTTTGCAGGATCCACCAGTTTCATAGCTCTGTTCCGAAGCTACGGAGCGCACTATCAGAGATGTATTCTCAGTCAGGACGGAGAGTTCGTGTTTATGAGCTTTCTCAGGAGCTCTCATATGCTCAGCAGGGAGATATGACCGTTCAGGATTATTATGACTATTTGACCCAGTGCTGGCTTGAATATGAGACTCTACGTCCTCTTGCTGCTATTCCGAAGATAGAGCCCGAGGGAGCAACATTCTTGCATACTCGAGAGCAGGAGGATAGGATTCACAAGTTCCTTATGGGGCTTCGTGATGAGTTTGAGGGACCTCGTTCTCAAATCTTGTCGATGTTGACACTTCCTTCTCTTTATGAGGTGTATGGGATGATTGAGCAGCATGAGCGTCGAGTCCGTATTGCATCACTTCCAGTTGCAGCTTGGACTCCTTCGGCTGACCAGATGGCCCTTGCAGTTGTTGTAGGGTCTCATTCAGGATCCTCAGTCAGGGGTGGGCAGCGCTCGGATCAGTGCCGTCAGGGTGCCTCAGATCAGCGCAGACAGGGGGATTCCCGTCACTGTGATTATTGTGGCCGATCAGGACATCTCAGGGCTACTTGCTAGAAGCTCCATCCAGAGCTTAAGCTGCCTCCTCGCAACCGTACTGTTGCTATTGCTGAGGTACCACCACCCACTATCGCTACTCTTGTTGCTGCTGCTCCACCTTGACAGAGTGATATGGATGTTATCACTTCCCGATTAGATATACTTATGTCTGCTCTGACTTTTCAGAGTCTGACTATTGTTGCTGTCACCACTACAGGTATACCTCGTGCCTTTCACGCTTGTGCCAGTTCATCTCCCCTTTGGATGTTGGACTCGAGTGCGAATGGTCACATGACAAGTGAGGCCCATCACTTCACCATTTTTGACGAGCAGTTACATACACAGGTTCAGTTAGCAGATGGGACACATGCCCCTATTGTTAGTAGGGGTACAGTCCGCCTCCCAGATGGCCTTACATTACATTCGGTTTTTCATGCACCAAAGTTGGCCATGAATCTATTATCTGTGCATCAGTTAACCAGAGATTTTTACTGTGCGATTGTATTCTTATCTGATTCGTGTTATTTGCAGGACCTGAGTACCAGGAGGATTATTATCAGGGGACATGAGAAAGATGGACTGTTTTATCTTGGCAATCAACCTCCAGTTTCACTAATTCCTCCACCTACATCACTTGCACCTGCTTTGTCTTTTTCTGTTCCTAGCTTGCATGCTAGTATTTTACCTAGTAGTTGTCGTTATGATTTTTCGTCACAAACTATTCAGTTGTGGCATGACCGTTTTGGACATACAAATTTTAAATATTTATGTATGTTGTTTCCTGCTTTGAGCAATGCTTGTGTTGATGGTAAACTTGACTGTGTTATATGTTCCCTATCGAAACATGTTAGGGCCAGTTATATTCCTCGCATGCACCAGTCACCTAAGCCATTTGACCTAATGCACTCTAATATTTGGGGACCCTCTCCCGTTACTGCTTTGTCAGGTGCCCAATATTATGTGACATTTATAGATGATCATACCCGTTGTACTTGGGTCTATCTTTTGCATAGAAAGTCTGATGTACTTCCTATAATTACTCAGTTTTTACAAATGATTAAGATACAATTCGATGTCATTGTTCGTGCTCTTCGTTCGGATAATGCCAAAGAATATGTGTCTGATGCCTTAATGTCTCACCTTTTTTCTCAGGGTATTCTTCAGCAACTCACTTGTCCATATACTCCTAAGCAAAATAGTGTAGCTGAAAGGAAAAATAGGAGTTTGATAGGGATGGTACGTTGTATGCTTAGATGCATGAGGGTACCAAAATCTTATTGGCATTTTGCTGTTTTGAATTCTAACTTTTTGTGC